AACAACACACTTGCTTTAATTAAGCTTTTGTACAATAGCCAAGTGAACTTCCTCCTTGATTCAGAATTTAACCTGCTTTCTGTTTCCTCAACACTCTGGATGTTCTTTTCTTTCAAAACCCAGCTCAGGCCCTCCCTGGTGGCGCAAAGGGTTAGGACGCAGCACTGTAAGCTGGCTGCAGCCTCTTCAGTACAAGTTCGATCCCCAGGCCCGGAGGTGATCCACATGGCGCAGCAGATCTCTCCTGTCTCGCCTGCTGCTCCCATCAGCAGAGTACTTCATTGAGCTACCTGTTCTGCTCCCCACTCTGTCTCTAGAGAATCCTCTCACTGCCCCTGCACCTCTGGCCTGTACCCCAGTTCTGTATGCATAAATAAATAAATCTTTTTAAAAAAAGCTCAAATGTCACCTCTTCCTGGAAGATTTTCCCTGAATGTTCCTACCCCAAAATCCTCCTATGCTGTTCTTTTTTTCCCTAAAATTTTATTTATTTATGCATACAGAACTGGGGTACAGACGTGGTGAGAGGATTCAGCAGGCAGGTCAGGAGAGGTCTGCCAGACCATGTGGGTCACCTCCCTGCCATGTGGGCCCCCTCTCTTTGCAGTGAAACAGCTGCAGTGAGCTTCATGGTGCTGTGCTTTAACATGTTGTGCCACCAGGGAGGGTCCCTCCTATGCTGCTCTTAAGCACCCCAACAGCATACTTACTGCCAACCCAACGACTCTTCACTACTCATGCTTTGGCCTCTTTATCCAGTGGTTCTCTAATCCCTTTGGTTCCCTGCTACAACCATGTAGCTTCTTCCTCCTGTCGCAGTGCTATTCCTTCTTGGTCCTTCCCAGTTCCTCCGGTCACCACCATACATGAAGAATGCAATGTCTCAGGGTTTGGTCCTGACCCTCTTGTCTTTTCTCACTCCATTTTCCCCTAGGCAATCACACCTCACTGTAGCTTTAGCCACTACCTCTATGCTGATGACTTAAAATTTCAGTGGCCTACAGGGCTGTCTTGAACCTGAACAATTACTAGTTTCAGGAGTCTGGTGAGCCAAGTTGTTAAAGTCATTATTAAACATTAAATTATTAATTTATGATTCTATATATTAGATATTATACACTCAAAACATACCTTTCTTTCTTTTTTAAAGATTTATTTACTTATACTCATAGAACTGGGGTACAGGTCAGAGGTGAGGATTCACCAGAGACAGAGGGGGGAACAGAACAGGCAGATTGATGAAGTACACTGCTGAGGGGAGCAGTGGGTGGTCAGGAGAGGTCTGCTGTGCCATGTGGGTCACCCCCCTGGCCAGGGATCAAACTGTGCTGCAGTGGCTGTGATAACTTCATAGTGCTGCACCACATGGAGGGCCATACCTTTCTAATTATATTACTAATACCTAAGCCCCTGAGATTATTTTTATCTATCATATCTGTGTGATATGAATACTTTATAAGGGTTGCTTCTAGTCATCAGTTCTCAACTCTGCTCAGAGACATCACACAAACAGCTTGAAATCAACCACAGTGAGAGAACTTATAGCATGAGTATTGGCAACCTCTACAGATCAAGGTATTTCCCCACTTAGAGAGCCATATGTTGAAAGATTTCCCAGTTTGCCATTGACCAAATCTGTACCAGAAGCCAGCCTGCAGTGACTCCCTGGGCTCTGCTTACTAGATACGTCCTCCAGCTTGTCTACCAGGCTCCACCTTTCTTGTGCACCAAACAAGCTCAGTGTCATCTTTGCAATCCTGACCAACCCTCTCAATGCCTACTTCATTTGCAGCAAGACCATTCACCCTGCCAACTAAGCAAGAACCACCCCCAACACCCAATAAGTTACTTCCTAATGATTCCCAGGTCTTTCCATCTAGTCCTTTCCCAGCCTCGCCCCAGCTTCTGTTAGGCTCTGTTGCTCTTCCTGTACATTCTGCCCAGCCTCTTCACTGGTCTCTCTGCTTGTTCCCTTCCAAACCACCTCCATTTGTCCCATAAAATGCAAATCTGAGTCCTGGGGAGGGATCATGTGCAGCATGATGATTATAAAATATTTCAGTGACCTCTTAGTTCCTACAAAAGGAAGTAGAGACTGCCTTCACGTGGTTTATCTCTCCTGCCTCCCTCTCCATCCTTATTCATCACCTACTCTGACTTTTGGGGATTTGTGAGTCACAGAAATCACTTTTGCTTAACGTATGCAGACAAGGAATTTATTAACCAGTATCAGGCATCTTGGAAATTCTTTGAAAGGATGAAGAATCTTCCTTGGAGACCACACAGCCTGAAACAATGCTTCAAATAATACTGTGAGCAGGCCCAGGAACACTCTGCTATGTGGTTGCCAAGTATGAATGGCACGACCCTGTCCTCCCAGATGCTCCCCAAACCAACATTATTGCAGCCCATAGTCCCTGGCAGCACCTTCCATCACCACCACGACCACCTCACCAGAGCAGGCTCCATTCCCTGCTCCCTCTGACACTACCTTTGTGTTCAAAGCTCAGGAGTAGGGTGTCTCAGACTGAGGTCACACTTCCAGGTGGGAAGGAAGTCTGGGAAGGAGCTGCCAGCTCCTAGAGAGGGAGGTGGGGTCTGTCTCAAAAGACGGAGATCCCCCAAACGTAGGAAGGGAGCAAGTCCAGTGCTGAGAAGCCAACAATAATGACAGGCATCCCCAGGATAGTTTTTCAATTTATACAAGTAAAATACTATCCAAGATAAAACACAGGAATACCTCATTTTATTGTTCATTGCTTTATTGTGTTTCACAGATACCACATTTTTTACATATTAAAAGTTCATGGCCGGGCCCTCCCTGGTGGTGCAGCGGGTTAAAGCACAGCACTAAGAAGCTTAAGCCACTTCAGCATGAGTTTGATTCCTGCTGGCCCCGGAGGAGATCCACATGGCGTGGCAGACCTCTCCTGACCCGCCCGCTGCTCCCCTCAGCAGTGTACTTCCTCAATCTGCCTGTTCTGCTCCCCACTCTGTCTCTGGTGAATCCTCTCACCCTCCGCATCTCTGGCCTGTACCCCAGTTCTGTATGAATAAATAAATAAATCTTTAAAAAAAAAAAAAGTTCATGGCCACGCCACATCAAGCAAGTCTACAGGTGACATTCTTCTAACAGCATGTGTCCGCTTTGTATTTCTGTCACAGTTGGTAAGGTCTGTATGTTGTCTTTGGAAATACTACTGTTGCACATATAATAGACTACAGTGCAGGTTAAACATGTCTTTCACATGCCTGGGAAACCAGGAAATGCATGTGACTCCTTTATGGCGATCGGGGCTTTATTGTGGTGGTCTAGAACCTAAGTGAGATCTTCCTGAATTAAATGGCATAAGAAGGGGGCAATGAAATGTAAAAGCCTCTCTCCCTGAGTCCCACAGTTCCATTTGCTAGAGGTAAATACTGTTGAGGTTTTTTTTTTTTTTAATCCCTACAGATGTGTTTTGTGTATCACCAGCTATAAGCATTACCTGTATGCATTTGTATATAAGGAGTCTATATAATGTATATAGTATGTTAAGTATGTATGTGTATTTCCTATGTATCAAAATTGGCGGTCCACACTTCCCAGTTTGGCGTCTATTTCTCTCCCTGTAACACCGTCTCTTGACATCTCCTATGTCAGCATAAATGTGTCGAGCTTGTTCTTCCTAATGACAGCACAGTATTGCACTGAGGTAGACCACACTTAATTAACAAGCGGGTCCTCTACAGATGGACAGTTAGATTATTTTCAGCATGTTTGAGTTTTTGTTGTTGTTTTTGCTACAATAAACCATGCTGCAGTGAGCACCCTTGTGTACTCTTATGAGTAGAGGTGTGAGTGATAAATTCCTGGAAGAGGAGTTGCTGGCTCGCAGGAGCAGGCATTTATGTTTTGGAGAACATTGCCAAATTTCTTTCCAAAAAACACATGCCAATTTGCAGCTCCACCAGTGGCCTGCAAACAATTGTTTGCAGGCCCTGCACCATGTAGCTACAGGACATGCCCTCCCTTTGTGGCCTGCCATATACACCACATTTCCAGCCACAGTGCTTTTGCCCATGCAAACCCACGGCCAGAAATCCCCTTCCTCCTTGTCTGCCAGATGAGCTGCCCCATGAGGCCCAACTCAGATGTCACCTCCTCTGTACAGCCTTCCTTGATTCCCATTAAGCTGTCAGAGTCCCTTCCTCTGGGATCCTACAACTTCTTGGGCAGAATTCTGTCCTAGCACCATCTAAAAGCCCCCTCCGCGTGGCATTGTGGAGTCACTGGGGTCCCCACCCAAATCACTCAAAATAATGTTCTTCTCTCCCTCTCCCTTCCTTCCTGGCTTTCCAGCTGCACTACCTTGTGTTTGTTCCTAAGCACAGTCCTTTGCACTTGCATTACCCACTCTGGAGTTTGCCTTCATCCCACCTTTCCTGGGGTCAAACTTCCTACTCACCTCTTCACAGAGTACATGCCCAATTCATTATTTTCCGAACAGCCCTCAAATGGAAAGGATCTTGTTTGAATCAAGTGTTGACACGTTTATTTTATGTTCTGTGTCTCGTCTGTGTGTGTACACACACACACACACACACACACAGGAGTTATAACTCCCTGAAAGCAGGAGCCTTGTTTTCCTTTTCCACTGCCTGACACCTGTTTCAGTGTTCAATAAATGTTCGTCTAACTAACAATTCATATTTTACGGAAGTGAGAATTCAGAAAGAAGAGTCGCGTATCCCCCCAGGTACCCCTGAGATTCCATCCAGCTGAACTCCAAAGCAAACTGCAGTACTTCTTTCCTCCGGTAGCACGCCGCACTGTCGCCCCCGCCGATGAGGCTTTCGGGGGCCGGACGCGAGTCTGACGCTCGGGGTCCCCAGCGGCGCGGCGCTAAGCCGTGGGGGGAGGCTAGCGGGAACCGCGGAGCTGTCACCTCCCCGCCCCCTGTCAGTCAGGCCGAGGGGGCGGCGCGGCCGCCAGGGGGGGCGCTGAGCTCAGAGCTGCGGCGGCACTGGAGCCCGAGCGAGCGAGCGAGCGAGCTGGGAGCGGGGAGCAAAGCGCGAGCGGCGGCTGGCGACGCACCCAAGGCCCGGGCACTGCTAAGCCCCGGCTCAGGGCCGGCGCCGCGTCTGCTGTAGACTGACCAGCCACGGCCCGACCCCCTGACGGTCTCGAGTCCACCCGTGCCGGCGTAGCCGAACCCCAGCGTCCTCCCGCTGCAGCCGCAGCCGCAGCCGCAGCCCAACTCCATCCCTAGCCCGGGCCGCACATCCAGGTGAGGTGGCCGTGCCGCGGGGCTCCTGGCACGGGAAGTCTGCGGGAACTGAGTGAGGTGGGAAAGGGTTGGAGATGGAGAGCAAGATGGGGGGGCCCAGGGAAGGGGCCGGGGATGCAGAGGCTACTCTCGGAATGGGAAGAAAATGGAGAAGGGGCTCGAGGCGGAGAAGGGGAAGGGGCTGCAGAACGGAGAGCAGGCGAGGGCGCCGGTGGCGCGTGTCAGTGTGCGCCCTGGGGTTGTGCCTGCTGCTCTGTATCTGCAACAGCCGTGTGGACGTGCTCCCGCGCCCGAGTGTCCCAGAGTCCCCGCGCGTTTGATCGTCTGTGCGTCCTGTGTGTGCATGTGAGCGTCTCCGTGGAGCGTGTTTATGTGCTTGTCCGTGTGACGCTCGCGTGTGCACAGGCAGACCCCGGGGCTTCGCGCCGAGCAGGGCACTCTGGTTCCGCAGGGCTGCAGGTTGCAGGGCCCCGGATAACTGGGGTGGTGGCCCCTCCCGCGTCCCGGGGTTTCAAGGACGCCAGGACTCACCTCGGCCCTGTGGCCTCGCGCTGTGGAGCTGGGGCAGCGGGAGTGGGATCTGGCCCAGAAGGGCACTGCGGTCTCAAGATCGAGGGGAGGGGGCACCCTGTCCCTCTGGAAGGGATGGGGTGGGGGTGCGAGACCAGTCCACCGGTGCCGTGTGTTCGCCCTCCCCAGGCCGCCAGGATGGACGTGTTCATGAAGGGCCTATCCATGGCCAAGGAGGGCGTCGTGGCCGCCGCGGAGAAAACCAAGCAGGGGGTCACCGAGGCCGCAGAGAAGACCAAGGAGGGTGTCCTCTACGTCGGTGGGCGATAGATGGGGTTTCCAGGGGTGCTGGGGCTTCCTAGTCCCTAGGGTGGGGGAACCCTCCCCAGGGGTCCTCAGAGGGAGGGAGGCTGAGTCAGGGCAGGAGAATATGAGTCAGCAGATGGGGCCAGGTCAGCAGGTGTCACTGGGAGAAAGCCAGGGAAGCCTGGGTCAGCTATGAGGCTGAAAGGAGGGCTGAGGTGGTGGGGTGGGAAGAGTGGGGTTTAGCTAGAAACCCCGGAGCAAGACAGTGACCTCAGCAGATGGACACTTTTTCTTATACTCATTATTAACTAGTGTTGAGTCTTAAGTCCACCTCTCTAGTACTGTGTGAAATGTCATAGGGAGCATCATCTAATTGCCAGCCCCTTCCAGGAATCAAGCAAACTGGGGCTCCCAAAAGTTTTAACTACCTTGCCCAAGGTCACATAGCTGGTAGAACTGAGGCTGGAGTTGGAGCCAATCTTTTGGACTCCCATCCCTCGCCTTGATGCTAATGCCCCCAACTCCTGCCTTACTTGAACTCCCTCCCAGCCCTTCTCTCCCACTGCTGCTTCCATCTCTCAGGCACTCCCCAGGATTCCAGCTTCCCAAAGCCTATGGTTACACCATCTCCATCCTTCCTCTTGCAGCTGCCAGCTGGTATCAGGAAAAAGGTCATGCAGTTGACATCTCTCACCCTAAGTGTGAACGGAGAGGGAGCTTACAGAGTCATTTGCAGAAAGGGAAGAAAAGCCCCCAGAACTTACATGTATTCAACCCTTCTGGTAACTCTGGGCTCTAGTGTGTGAGGGTTAGAACTGTTCGCTCTGCAGGCTGCAAAGCTGCAGATTTGGAATTGTAGTTACTTCGCTTAACTATGTGCAGGGAACAGAGGCACCTTCTCTCTTGATGGTGAAACAGAGCATCCCAATAACACATTTGCCATTAGTGGCTGGGTTGGGGGGGGGCACTTTGATAGAGCAGTCAAAAAGGGTGGCATTTGAGCTATGCCTGGAAGAATAGGGAGCCAAGTAGTTGTGGGGAGGGGGGGCAGAAAAGGTAGGTGCAAAGGCACTGGAATGGACTGAAGGAGACCCGGCTGGAGAGCAGAGGATGGGAAGCAGTGGTGGAGATGAAATCAGAAAGGTGGGAAGGGCCCAGTGCAACACAGAGAGCCTCTGGGCGAGGGCATAGCATGATAATTTAAGTGAGGCACAGAGGCTATCTGACTTAGCTTAGAAAGGCCCCCCAAGGAGGTAATGGGCCACAAAGTGAGGATGCCTGGAGCTGAGACAGAGGTGCTGGAGATGAGTGAAGGCCGGAGCCCACCCCTTCTGGACCCAAGTTCTGGCCTCCTCCTGCCTCTTTCCCAGCCCTTTCGCTCTCCGTGGCTCTCTGCTAACAGACTCTGCTCCTCTCCTGCTCCTTAGATTGGCACCTCATCCTCTGCTAGGATCCCTCGGTGGCTCCCCATTCTCACATGTTGACTCCTCAGCTCACTATAACCTAGCAGTCAGTGCCCTTCCTTGCTCTGCCTCATTCTACATTTCCACCTTTGTTTCCCACAAAGACTTACGTGATGTACTTCGTGCCCACCCTGAAAGCACACCTTCTTGTGTGTGCCTACATGGTTTCGTGTGCCGGAAATACCCTCCCTTGTCCCTCTCTTGCCTGGGCCAATGCCCCTTCCATGGTCACATAACCCTGGAGCCTGAAAATCCCCACAATTAGAGTCCTAGGCACCGAATATGCTTTTCTCTTATCTCCACCAGTGAGCCATTGCCTTGGGGCCCAGCATACCACAGGTGCCAACAAATGTTCATGGGAGAATTGAATGGGTGCACCTCAGCCAGCTCCCCTGTTTGAATCCAGTTAATGTGGCCCTGGAAATCCCATCTTCCCATGCCAATCTCTACCCCAGACTAGCCTCAGCCTTCCCAGACACCCATTTCTGGGTCTCTCAGCTATTCTTCAGTATTCAAATGCTCCAGATGGGAGACTCCCTACTCCCCCGAGGGACCCTGAGCCCCTCCTCAGGTCAGTCCCCCTTGCTTTTTCCAGCAGTCCCACATTTTGATGTGACCAAGTCAGTGGCCTCTGGGAAGGCCAGCCAATATGGGTGACCTGCATATTACCCCAGGCCAATCCTGCACCTAAGACCCAGCCCACTTCAAACCAAGGGAGGATCTACACCCCTATTAGAAGAGAATCTTTAGAAGAAAAGGAGTGGAGGATGGTGGAATGAGGGTGCCAGGAGAATCTTTCCAAAAACACAGACTTTTGCCGCCACCCCTACCTGCTCCCACTGGGCTTCCTACAGTAGCAGCTGGAATTTTGGAGTTAGGTGTGAATTTGAATGGCATTTCAGCCACTTACCAGTTGTAAGACACTAACAGAGCTTCTCTTTCCATCTGTGAAACAGTAGCCACCTCTCGGGCTGGGGAAAGGATCAAATGAAATGGTGCAAGTGGGGTGCTTGAACAGCACCCACAGAGGTGCCGGTGTGGGAAGACCCATAGAGGGGTGGGAGCAGATATCCTATCAGCTTAGGTGGTGGGAGAGAACCGGATGTCCTGAGGAAGCAGGCAGGGAGACATGGGGGGGAGGGTGTGAGTGGTGATGAGCAAGGTCCATGGGATTCTGAGGACCAGGAGGCAGCAGTGGGCCCTGGAGGGTTGCTGCTGGCTGGGCCTCTGCTGCTTTGTTACCACCTCACTTGCTGGAGTCTCTGTGCCCTCAACTCTTGTGTTCCCTCTGCCTGCAGGAAGCAAGACCCGAGAGGGCGTGGTACAAGGAGTGGCCTCAGGTACCAGCCCAGCCCTGCCACAGTCCCCTTTCACTCTTAAGGCCTGTCATCTGGTCAGGATTGAGGGTGGGGGGAGGAGTGAAAGTGGACACCCAAAAGTTGCCTGTGGGGGGAAGGGTAGGTAGAAAGGGTCTACCAGGAAAGTAGACCCTTGGGCAGCACTAGGGAGAGAGGCCTCTATATATCCTTCACTCTCACCCCCGCCCCTCCCCTAACCCTCTCTGTGCTCCAGTGGCTGAGAAAACCAAGGAGCAGGCCTCCCATCTGGGAGGCGCCGTGTTCTCCGGGGCTGGAAACATTGCAGCAGCTACAGGCTTGGTGAAGAAGGAAGAATTCCCCACTGATCTCAAGGTGAGCAATCACCCTATCGTGCTCATACACCGATGGCCAGGACCCCCATACACCTAGCACTAGGCTCCCGGGTCCCCCCACCATCCCAGGATGCAAGTTACCTTGCCTAACATTCCGCAGCCTTAGCGCAAAAGGAGTCTGACTGAGAGAGTGGCACACCCTGTGAGTGTGTCCCAGACCAGACCTGGCGACATGTGTGTGAGTCACCAATTATCCTTCAGTTCATTCAACAAGTATCTGTGCCAGGAGGAAGCGTTCTGGGATTAATGCAGTAAATCAATCCCCCCGTTCATGTTGTCAATGCTAGAGTGAGAGCTGATAGTCAAGAAAAGGCCCCACTAAGCATGATTTAGATGGTGAGAAGTGCTCTGAGGAATAGCCAAAGGTGATGGGATAGAGAATCAAGTTTCCTTCGCTGGTAGGACTTCTCTGAAGAGGTGACATCTGAGCTGACATGCCAGGATGAGGCAAGCCATGTGTGAAGTATATTTCGGGCATTAGAAAGAGCAAGTGCAAAGGCCCTGAGGCAGACATGAGCAGGTGTGAGCCACGGGGAGCCATGCAGTGTGCGTCACGGGTTGTATAAGCAAGTCCCTTGGGAAAGTGGAGGTGGCTAACCATGTGTGCATGAAAACAGACACCTCCACTAGGACATATGTAGGGGAAGAGCTTGAGCTCTGGAGCCCCACAGAGCTGGATTTGAATCCCAGCTCCTTTATTTCCTGACTGTGACTCTGAGCCCATTCTTTTCCTGCACAACAGGAACTGGACATGATAGACCTTCTCAGAAGATTAGAGATAGTATAGCCGAGGTTATCAAAACCTAAGTGACTCAGAGTCACCATGAGGCCAGGTTAAAGTACAGCCTCTTGGCCCCATCCCTGGAATTTGAGATTCAGTGGGGCCAGAGAATCGGTATTTCCAGCAGTCGCCCAGGTGGTGCTGATGTTGCAGGTCCAAGAACTGCGCTTGGCGGACACGGACATAACGAGCCTGGCTGGCATCATGCAGCAAGTGCTCAGTGGCAGGTGACCCGTGATTACGCAAGCGGTCTGTGTCAGCCTGGTGGTCCGGGAGCCCACTGGTGTGCTCAGAAGTGTGCCTCCACGACAGGACATGCTGGGGGCTGTAGACCCGCAGCGTTCGCTCTGTGGGGTGATCCTTGTCTGCCCATGTACAAGTGCAGGGCTTCGTAGCTGGGGACAGGGCTGTTGTTCAGCATTTGGTCTGCGAGGTCAGTTCCCACTGAGTGTCTCCAGCAGATATTGGGCCCCCACACGCAGCCCACCCTCTACTCAGACATCTTGCAGTTAGTTTCTTCCCCTCTCAGAAGTCTGAGGCCTGACTTTGGAGTTTCTGGAATTTACTAGCTGTCTGGTTTCCAGTTTCACATCAAGCTGTTCCCAGTGATCACGCTCATCCATTGACCTCTAGGCACCTCTAGGCAGACACTATTCTAGATGTTTTACATGGAGTGACTAACTCATTGAATCTTGACCACATCCCTATGAAGAAGGCACCACAACTAGCCCATTTTACAGATGAAGGAACAGAGGCTCAGAGTAGTAAAGTAGTAAGTCCAAGAACCCAGTTCCTGCAGACTCAACTATTTGTGGTTGAGAGCTCAGGCCCATAGCAAGAGAGTTGCATGGTGCCTACACGGGGTCAGGCCCTGCGCTGGGAGCTTGAGGTTTAGAGAGAGGCAGCTGTGGGCCTTCTCTGTCAGTGCCAAGGCTGTCTGCCATGGGCCTTTCCACAGAACCGTTCTCCCAGGCCACCTTCCTTCTACCTGCATTTGTTGGCACTTCAGGTTTCTTCTCTCAAGGGAGCTCAAGATCATTGATTTATAATCCAAACAACAAGTCACTGGGTGTGGGGAGCCATTCCAGCCCTGGGTGTGCCTTTCATTTCTGGTGTGTCTACCTGCCAACCTGCCTACGTACATTATCACGGGACCGTCCCCACACCCCTACAAAGCAGAAAGTACTGTCAAAGGCAGCTATTGGAAGGGAAGCACCAACTGCTGTGAGTGGCCAGCCTGGGATGTTTCTTAAGCAAACATTTTCATGAATTACAACGTACACTCAGAAAGCACCACAGGAATCCATGAAATCCTCCAAGAGAAATCCTCCATGGAACCAGACCCAATACCAACCCTTAAGAAACCCACCCTAGCCCACTTCCTGTCCCTATGTCCAGGCCCAGATAAGAGAGAAATAGGTGTGGGGTCTGGTTGTATAATTTAAGGGGACTCATTCTGGGGTCTCATGGCATGGCCCTTTCATCTCGGTGCTGCCTCCCCCTTCCAAGGGTCACTGCTTCCTGAATCTGCCACCACCAATGCTTTAAGTGGTTTTTAAGGCAATATAAACATTATCATCAGATACACACTCTCCCATTCCTGGCTTCTTCCACTCGATAGGAAGTGCGAGATTTGCACTGTTGGCCTTCCGTTTGCACTGTTGTGCTATGTCCATCCTGTGGTCACCAGGACAAACGCCTCTAGCCTACTCTTGTTGGATGCTGGAATTTGTTCCAAACATTATGCCTGACCTGGGATTTTTAACACTTTCTTTCCTGAGTTCTGGCCATACCTGGGTGACTTTGGAAAAGTAGCATTTCCCACCTCCTGGGTTTTGGTGTGCACTGGGGGAAATGAGCTGTAAACTCACATACCTAGACAGGTAACATGACGGCCCTGAAGCTGCCCGGATGGACTGGGGCAATGAGAGCATAAATCAGCAGTCTCAGTGACAGTTCTCCAGAGTCCCAGGATCCTTATCTGCCCAGTGGTTTCTTGTGGAAGTGGGGAAGGTGGTATGCCCCCTGCCTGCAGTTTCTCCCAGGCATCCGTGTGTGTGCCACCCCACATGTGGCCTTCTGCAGCCATACATGGACCCCAGGTGACTGTGTGTGCAGCCAGCCCAGTCCCATGTTTGTGCACAAACTCCCCTGCAGGTGCCTGGCCATGTGCCCTACAGCCCCCCACTTGTATGTTTGCTGGGTTGCACCCGCCTGGGCAGCAGATGCTCTGGGGGGAGGGGAGCGTCTTAGCTCACACATCCAAGCAACACTATGAGCTGTTGCTTCCAGCTTATCTTAAAATAGCAACAGCTGAAGAAACCAGGCCACACAGGGCCCTGGGGGAGGGACGGGTGGAAGGTGGCAGGGGAATGGCTCAGAGCCCCTGTCCAACCCTGTCCCTGTGCCTCCATCTCCCTGCAGCCCAGAAGAGCCTCAGGGCTGTCTCTGGGGTCCACCTGCCCCACACAAAGCCCGACACAAAGGGAAAAGGGAAGGATAAATGGGTGACGGAGTGCCATCTACCTTTCCACCCCATGTAGTCCAAATCACGGAAATGCAGGCAGCTGCCAGGTGCTGCAGAGAGGGAGTATAGAAAGCCCCGCCCCCCTCCACCCCCAGATTCAAGCTGTGATGGGATGGGGGGGATTTTACATCTTCATCCTACTCCAAGTCACTTCAAATAAACAATTTAATTAAAAATTCCAGTTGCACTGCCAACGAAGCCTAGTTTTTCTCCAGCCAAAAGCTCCCTAAGATAAGAATTTGGGGACATCCCCAGTTTCCCTCACTGGCCCTGTCCCTTCTCTGTCCATAGCCAGAGGAAGTGGCCCAAGAAGCTGCTGAGGAGCCGCTGATCGAGCCCATGATGGAGCCAGAAGGGGAGAGCTATGAGGAACCACCCCAGGTGAGGGTCCTTAGGGCTGGGTGGGGTTTTGGGCTTCCCAGAAGATTGCTGCCATCTGGGGTGGGAGTTCCCAATAAGATCAGGCTGGACCAGGTTCCCCTTACTACAACTCAGGCCCCAGGAACTGGCAGTTGGGAGAGAAGACAGATAGGGCTATCCCCAGAGACCCCTGCCCATGGGGAGGGGCATGCACTTTCCTTCCCTGAGGGGGTGGAGGATCAGGAGGATCAGGCCAGAGCCTGACCACTTGGTTTCCAACCCCATCCTCTTTTGCTCTTCTCCACTCCACCCCCACCCTATCCCTCTTATGCAGGAGGAGTATCAGGAGTATGAGCCAGAGGCGTAAGGGCCCAGGATGCCCCCCCCCACCAGCAGCACAACCCCTCCCCTGTCCCCCAACCTACCCCGCCAGAGCCAGGGCTGTCCTACTCTTCCCCACAAATACGAGATCTTCCTTCGCCCAAGGAACCCCCTTGGGGCTTGTGTTAGTGTCTGTCCATCTGTCTGTCCTTACCCTAGTACAACCCTGGGGCTTGAGCAGGGCAGGGGCTGCAGCCAAAGCTGGGAGTCTCGCCCTACCTCTGTTGCCCGCTCCCTGCCCCATCCGGTCCAGTGTCTGCGAGGATGTAGCATGTTTTACGTGTTTTTAAACGAAGATCGGAAAGCAACGGCTCTCCATACCCACCCCGGATGGAGGCTCTCCGACGGGTCCCCGTGCAGCCCCAGAGCTCCCCACCCCATTCCCATATCAATCCCAAGAATCTTTTTTTTTTTTAAACCAAAACCAGGAGCCAGGCTGTGCCATGTCCCCTCCCCCAGCCTGCCCTGTTCTAGCGCGGGCCTTATGTGTCGTGATTGTGGCATGGAGAGTTCCCACCCCCCGTGTGAGCGTGTCCAGGGTGGGCGGGACCGGCCGCCCCCCCGCGTGTCCATGAATAAAGCCAATCTGTCTGTAGCTGGCGCCGCAGGGGTAGGGTGGTGCTGGGTGTCCAGCGGGCTTCCTATGAGCTTCCAGGCCCAGTCTGTCCTTCTTTGGGGCCTAGACCACTCCATCCCAGTGCAAGACTAACCACCTGGGGTCTCAGCTTCTCCAGTCTCCTTCTCCCTACCCCACCCCGCCACCCCACACCGGGGTATGACCTGGGTGGGACAAGGGGGTGGGATAAGGGGTGCCCTCCCAAACAGACAAGCAGTTGGCGCGAGCCCGGAAGGTGGCGCCACCTGCTGGACTGTAAAGCGCCTGCTGGGGCGCTGGGGTTTGGTGTTCCCCTCTCCCTGGCCTGTAACAGAGAAGCCCCGCGCCACAATAATGCAGAGTAAATAGGCTCAAAATTCACACGCGACGCAAGTGCGCGTGGCTGCACACGCGTGGATTTGCGAGCATGTCTGATGGTCACGAACGCCAGCCCGGCATAAGCCCGGTACACGCACCCGTGCAGACCTGCGTGCCGCACACTGGCGACACCTGTAGACTCGCGCGCGCCGCGGAGAAGCCCGGGGAAAGCAACAGCGCAGGCACTGAACGACGCTGTTAGTGCAGGCAGCTTTCTTCTCCCACCCCAGAACATTTTCACACACACCCCCTACGCACACACACACCCCTACGCACACCTTCCCGACGTAGAAAAACCCATCCAAGGGGAGAAGTGGGCCACTGCACGGGAAGGCGGCAAAGGTCGCGCAAGCAGCGCACCACCCTCCCGGAAAGGCGCTCGAAGGTCTGCCCCGAGGGTCCGCATTAATCTGTGCAGTCAGCCGGGGGCCTCGGCGGATCGCGAGAGGCGCTAGAGGGCCCCCAACACCGCCTGGAAGTGGGGAACGGGGGCGGAGACGCCGCGCCTCTGCGCTTCTTCACAGAGGCCCCGCCTCGGCCAGGCGCAGGAGCTGCTGGTATTCGCGCAGAAGGTCCAGCTCGGCGCCGACACCACGCCCCCAGCGCTGCGGCGCTCCGGCCCCCTTTGCCGCATCGCCCCTCTAATTTCTTAGGCCCCGCTGCCCCGCCCCCCCGTTGCGGAAACCCCGCTTTGCTTTGCCGCAGGAGTCCCTCCAACCTCGCCAGTGCGAACTCCACCCCTTCTCTGCTTCAGCCCGACCTCCTTTCCGACACAAACCCAGTTTCGCCCTCCAACCCGGAGGCTGGAAGGAGCTTGCTCCCTACCGTCTACACCCGAGTGCTAGCGCCTCCTCCTTCCGGAGTCGCTACAGGTCGAAGGGCCCCGAACGCAGAGGGACGTGGTCCCCTGGGGTCACCTCACCCTGCGGTGTAGGAACTTTTATTTCCCGGAGTAGGAGACAGCCGGCACACGCGTGTATAGGGAGAAAAAAAGATGTATTTTCTCTGACTCAATGTACGAATGCGCAGGGTCTTCAGATCCTTGTGGCTGAATTAAGACTCTACAACCCACGGGGTTCGGGGAATTGCATATTCGTGGCCCTCGGGTCGAATTTCGCCGATAGATGTTTAATTTTGCCAGGACGAGGTTCAATTTTTTTTTTTTTTTTCACTGAGGCCAGTTGGCGACAGTCCCCTTCCCTCCCCATTGTATTCCAGCTGTCCACGTTACTCACTTTCATGCACTGCTTGGCCACTAAAGAATTTGAGTTTGTCACCACCTGATCCCCGGTTTTAGATACTCAGAACTGGTTTACCATCTGGTGGGCGAGGAGGTTTATTCTTCCTTCCTGTGTGCCACGCCACACGCCTGGTTTTCTGCTCAGAGACCAATGTTCTCATCTGCGATGGACCACTTTAAATGCATTTGAGGCACAGGTCCAGAAGCGTCAGCAGAAGCTGCCAGCCCTGAGTCAGAAGGCCGGCTGGCCTGGTGCTGGGGCGAGAACACACAGCCCAGAGGGCCCTCCCTGGGACCCGACCCAGCCATCCAGCCGCTCCTCAAGTGCCCAGGATGTCCCAGGCACCAGACTCTCTCCATGGATTTCACTTCCATGCTTCCTTGTTTCTGGCCCCAATCTGTGGATGAGAGGCTGGAAATCAGAAAGGCAATTACCTGCCCAAAGCATATGGCTGGGAAGTGGCCATTAAGCCACATGCATCCCTGAACCCAGCTCCTTTAGAATTTTCCAAAAGGGACTTGCTCAAAGGGGAGACAACAACAACAACAAAAAAGCCAACAGTAGGAAATGCTAGGGGCAGCAGATTGGTGCTAACAGAACTTGTGCAACTTCACGACTTTGCAAGTGAGATGGGGGTGCATGCCGTGTGTGCCCTCTTACTATGTTAGTATCTGTTCATGGGTGTTTCCCACATGTTTTCAACACATCCTCTGGTGGGGAACTCACATCCCATGGATCAACAAATACTTGGAACAAGATACATTTGAGTTTTATGAACATAAAACAGTGATGTGACTGAGAGGAGATGATGGCCAGCATTAAATCAGGGTGACCAGGTCAGGCATCTGGAGAGACCAGGCTGGAGCTGAAATTTGAAAGAAGAGCAAGTGTCAGGGAAGATATAGGGAGGTATAGGGATATAGCGAGATATAGGGAGAGCAATAGAGCAAGCCAGAAAACAAGGGTTGCAGAAGAACACCCCACGTCTGCCTCAGGGGTGTAGTCTGAGGCTGAGCCTGGCCCATGGGCCCAGCCCCACCCGTTCTTGCTCACAACTTTCCTTCGTCCTTGATCTCTCCCACCTGGACGGTGCTCAGCTCTACTTGCTGAAGTGTGTCCCTCCACCAAAGGTGAAGCTGTCCCCCAACGTACCCAGCTGTGCACACACAGACCCCTCCCCACACAGTCAGCACTCTGGCTGGCTAGCCTGGGCCAGCTGTCTCCCCGATGAAGGGCTGGGGGCTGCCCCTCTGCCCACACCATCTGCTGGCTCCCGCCCTGCCTCCCTACCCCACCTCCCTACCCCACCTCCCTGGCAATGTGGCTCCACAGCTTTCTCTGGAACTTTATTTTTGTTTTCTCCTTTCCCTATTTATAGCTCTCTCCCCTCTGAGCCATCCCTGCATCCATCCTGTTGCCTAGAAACCAGCTCTGGGCTGAGGGTGGGGGAAGGCCAGGCCAGCCCAGGCAAGGGAAGGAAGAGCAGTCACCCACTCCCCGTCTCAACACCACCCCCAGGCTCCCAGAAGCCCACCCTACCCTCTCCCCAGCACTCAAGTGTGTTTTTTAAAAGATAAAGTAAAATGTATGAAAAACAACAGGCTTCGGAGAGCCTTCCCAGCTTCTAAAGGGCATGATGCACATGATTCCCCTCAGGCCTCTGTAGCCTACCCTGCAGGAGGCCTGCACCCAGTTTTTCAGATGAGGACTCTGAGACTCATGAAGCAAAAGCACAAATACTTGCATAATCCATTCATTGTGGTAGGGTGAAGGGAAACATTTTTGTCATTACCCTGTCACACCCCACCCAACAACCTTGTCTCTACAGAGCCCTCCACCGTGCCAGGCCGACCTGCCCTTTTGATACCCCATCAATAGTGCTACTGTGGCTCCATGTCCCTGGAGGGCCACCATGCCTTCACCAAAAACTTCCACACTCTCCGCTCCCCGTGCTCCCCACTCCAGGCCCCCCAGGCCTAACAACATCTTAACTCCAGCCCTCGAGCAGATAGTTGAGCTAGGTTCCCCCGCCTGTCATTTCAACAGTGTGGCCTTGGATAATTCACATAACCTCTCTGAGTCTAGGTTTCTTCAAATCAAGAGTAAGGGTGCTGACTTCCATCCCACAGGACTAGTAAGAATTACATGTGATAATGATAAGAAAGTGCTTTAAAAGCTGTAGATTACCATAGCTTGTGAGTGATCAATTGGAAGAGTTAATGTTATCAGGTCAAGAGTGGGGCAGGGGGCCACAGCAAGTCCTGGGTTCACAGAGGGAGCCCCTGTCCCATCTCTGCAGAGGTCCCCTTTGCCTGGTGGAATGAGGGGCATTGCCTGAGAGCACCTACAGACACCAAGGACTAGAGTCCCCCTCGAACACCCCATCACCTCACTGCCCTTGCTCCCTGTGACCCTCCCCAAGGCCCACTTCTGCTTCAAAACAGGCTTTCTGGGAAGAATGAGGGAAAGGGCTGCCAAGGAGCAGCTGGGCCGTGATTCAGCCTGAGTCACCCTTCCAAATCCCAGGGCCGCCCCCAGCTGGACCAGGGCCTGCAGCTGCTAGGGAGAGGGACACGTGGAGATGAGGGAGGGGACATGTGGACAACAGGCTGTGCTCAGATGTGCCCAGGCCAGGGGCCCTCATGGACCGCAGGGACGTGCTCTGAGGGGCAGAGAGTTGTACACATGAAGAGATCAGGTGGAGACAGTGACCCCTCTGCAACCTGAGCTTACTGAGGAACCAGGTGTTCGTGTGGTGCATGCATGTGTGAGTGAGTGTGTGTGTTCGTATGTGCTCACACATGCAAGAGGTGTTGTTCTGAGCGCACGAACAAAGGCTCATGATATAATCGTGGGGGCTGGTGTTTGCTGCCCAATTTTGTCACTTTCTACCTATGTGACCCTGACAAAGTTACTTAACCTCACTGAACTTCTTTTTCCTCATGTATGAAATAAGAACAATAATAACATCCATTTTGGAAGGTTTTCCTTAAGGATGAAATGCAGTAAGATTATGTCACAAACCACTTGGGCAACCAGTAAATGATGTGCCCCCTTTCTTATTACTTTCCGGAGTACATCAGATTATAGGTTGCATGCGTGGGAATGAATACAAATCTGAATATTAGTATTCAGGGGTGTATCTGCATAAGTCTCAGGGGTAGGGGAGGGTCTAGGTGAGTGTTTCTTGAAGGAGTAAGTGAATATTTGCTATGTGTGCATCTCTGAAACCAACTCAAGAACTTTCCAGATAGTTGGGTTTATATGGCACTTCTTCCCACCCACCCCTCCCCTATCTCTCTCTCTCTCTTTCTCTCGCTCTCTCTCTCTCTCTCTCACGCACACATATACACACACACACCACCTTCCCTGGAGTCAGTGATTTGCTGGAATTTAGCAAAGACTCAGACACGTGTCGAAGCAAAGGGCCCAGGAGTTGTGATGCTGGGAATCTCAGTCCTTCTCAAAATTAGTTAGGCTCAATTAAGCTGAATTGTGCGTAACTGACTAGACCTCCAGGGTGGGTGTTTCTGGGTGTGAAGGGGAATTGGGTGGAATTGAATGGACAAGAATATGGGAGATAGCACCAAATTTATGTGTGTGCATGGAGCATACATGTGTACGTGTGTGCAGGGGTGGTGTTGGGGGGTGGCTGCTGTCTCTGCTCTAGTACAGTCTGCTTGTCTCCATGGTTCCTGTTGCCACACACGCTTGCTTTTCAGAAAGTCACTGGGATTGTTTATTCCACCCCCAGCCTGGGCACCAGCCAAAGAGCTGCAGGCACTTGTTTATCTTCTGGTGTGTACGAGTGTGTATGGTTCCCTAGTGGTGGACCAGCCTGAGGTGTGCCTGCACACACATTCACACGGATGAGACTGAGCCCCAGGTGATCCACAACCTGGACCCAGGCAAACATTCCCACCTGGGGCAAAGATGATTCCCCCCAGCAGCATCAGGCAGACACCCCATGTATTTAGCAATCTTCAAAGCTCCAGGAAAGTGTGAGTGCCAGTTGCCCTGGCTGCATCCTCTGTTGCACCCCCACCCTTGGAGCTAACTACTGCACAGTCATTGGCCAGGCCTGGATTGCTGCCAGCCCCTAAAGAACTGATGAACTAGAGTGGGGAGGCACTTTCCTAAGGAAAATGAAGGTGCTGTGGCCAGAAAAGTGTGCACAGTGCCAGGTTTGCTGCTACTCTTGTGTCCACCAGAGTGCTACATTATGCCAGATGTGTGGTGTGGTCTATTGTTTGTCCCTGTATCCTCCTTGGCACTCAGGCCTAACCATTGCCTCTGAAGAGAGTGACACTCAGAGAGACCTTCATCAAGGCCACAAGGCGAGTAGCAAAGTCAGGATCTCAACCACACTGACTGGCTCCATGCCCTCTCTAAGCTCCTGTTCTGCTTTAGTGAATGTTAAGTACTTTTAAGCATGTTTTAATAATGAACAATCCCCTATGGAATGAGTGGCTGAGTGTGGGCAAAGGGCACAGAAGGGGAAAGGCCCTTACCATGCCCACATTGAAGATCCAATCAGAGCCTGACTATGACCCCTAAGATGCCCTTTCTATTCCTACAGCAGCCATACCTGGTTTTATCAAAGAACTGTTCTCAGTCTGCAGAACCCACTTTGCTGAGTACACTGTGAGCCAGAACTGTCTAAGAATTAATGCGCAGCTCACTGGTTAACTCTTCACCAATATCTGCCAGGTTCTAGGCTGTAAATACACCAACCCCTTGTCCTTGGCCAAGGGGAATCCTGAGATGTGTGCTTGCCCCATTTCCCATGATTTCCCTCAGGACTAAGCTTCACTCACTCACTGGGTTGTCTGGCTTGATAAACACCTCTTATTGGATGCCTCCTGCTCCTGGATCACCTTCCCACTCTCCTGCTGGTGTTCCTGCAACCGTGGAGCCACATTCTCTTGTCTTCATCACAGGGTGTGTGAGCTGCCCCAGGGCACTGGGTCCCATCCTCTCCTTCCACCCTGAGTATCTAGGCCCAGTCATTTTACTCTCCCTTCCTGGAATCTTCACCTTTCTCCCAATACTGTCTCTCTCCCATCATGATATAAATGCCTCCAAGGCATTGAAGTTTCCAAAGAGGAGACATCTTAACCTCCTGTCCCCATGGAGAAACTATTTTGTCTCCCCAAAACCAAACTTGTTGTGAGAATTGTCCATTTCTCTCACTATCTTACTCCCATTTATTCATCAATATCCAGCCCCCAAGTAAGGACTTTCATCAAATTTCCATTACCTTCTTTTCAAGCCCAGAGACTATCTTTCTGGTTATATCTTATTTCCTACTGTGGTTAATTTCCCCATCCTTCTGGAACATTCTCTCACTTGCCTTCAGAGATATCACACTCTTCTGGTTTCTCAGGCACTGTTTCACATTCTTCTTTATAACCTCCTTTTCCCAGCTTGTCTCTTAATGTTGGTGTTCCTCAAGTGGACCTGGGGCCCTGTCTCACCCAATATAGTCTATAGTTCCCCACCATGTAGCAACAACTCATATTTCCTCCCACCATGTACCAACCATGGGGCAAAGATGTACCAACCCCACCATGTACCAACAACTCATATTTCCCATCACCAGCTCCCAGTATTGGCCACTCCAGAGTTCACTTTTGGACTCAGATGTCTCTGCATGGTTGTCCTATAAGTCCCTTCTTTCCCCAGACTCATCAGGTATCTGCCCTTCTCCAACAGGCTAACTAAGGCAGAAACTCAGAGATGTAGCAGAAGCTTCTCATCCCTCACACCTACATCCATCCCATGACCAAAGCCTGTTGATTTTTACCCCTAAATACATATTAAATCTGGCTCATCCCAACAAAGGCTCTCATGGCTGTGGAATATCTCATCTAAACAGCTGCCATAGCCTCCTCACTCATGCCACAGTCCCTCTCCAGCTTTACCCTGCACAGGGGGCTTTTTATTTCTTCAGTTTCTTATTAACTTTCTTCCATCGTTGTTGTGGTTTTTTTTTTTTTACATTATTGGATTTCTCCCCTCAGGGGTGGTCTCCATAAAACCCCACCACCACATCACCTGTGAACCATCACCATGGCCCCTTGTGCTCTTTCCTCCTGTTTGACCCCCGTCCCTCCCCCTCCCTTACTTTATTCCTCAGATCTATAGTTGCCTACAAGTGTTGTCATTTTTGTATCCTTTATTCGGTCTCCCTACATTCCTCCTATAAGTGATATCATCCATTTTTTTTTCCTTCTGAATTATTTCACTGAGCATAATCAGAGGGGGCTTTTTAGATCACAGGTTTGCTCCTGCCATTTTCCAAATTTTCGTGTTTTCATCTGTAGCCCAGTGCCAATAACGTTTACCTTGAAGGACTGTAGGGGGAATAACATGAGACAAAGAATGTGGAATACAGTTTGTAAACTAGGACCCTCTGTCCTGATGTGAGTGTTGTCCGTGGTGCTGAAAATTCGTCCTTCACCCTGGTTTTCTACCGCCTGCAGAAGCCAGTTGGTAATTTTATCATTGTCATCTAGACATTTTTAAGAAATAAAATTAAAAAGATCATAGTGACTTATGATTCACCTGGTGAGAAAAAGAAAGTATAGGTTAAGCGTCACGTTTCAGGAGTTGCCATTATTGACTGTGTGGCTATAAAAAAAGTGACTTATGAATACTCCATTTTCTAATCTGAAAAGTGAGGGTATATTAATAGTAACTTGCTCCTAAGTGGTTGGAAATTGAAATTAGATGAAACCTGTAAGCAAAAATTTAGCACAGTGTCTGCCCCTAAATAAGTGTTACATTAACGTTAGTTGTTACCATTTTTAGCAGGTGGTTTCACAAGTACAGACAAGAGGGTTTTTATTACCTGTAGGCAATTACAGAATTATTTCTCTTCTCTTCTGGAAAGTCAAAGGGACGGCGGGGGTGGGGAGGAGGACTAGTTTCCTGCCAGGAAACGCCGAGGGGGAGTGGGAAACAAGTCCTCATGTTCTTGGCAATTCAGATTAAACTGGAAGACCCTGAACACCTACTTCAGGCTCCTTCATCTCTCCAAGACCAATGTGTGGTGTTGTTAGTCCCATTTTATAGATTAGAAAACTGAGGTTCAGAGAGCTGAAATGTCTTGCTAGAGAGTCCCAGGGTGAAGAAAACCAGGCTTGCACGGAGGCGGTGGATGGGCACCCCAGTGGGGGAGGACACTTCTCTTCCAGCCCTCTCCCCCTACTCGCGGAAAAAGGGTGGCAATGAGACAAAGGGGCGGGGGCGGGGCGGACTGCTCGGAGAGAAGACCGGAAGTGCGGCCAAGGCGGAGGCGGGAAATTTCTGCGCCGGGGGATCACTGAGTTCGCGCTGACCTAGGTCTCCACACAGTCGCCGCCAGTCCCCGCCAAGTAGTTTCCACTCTGTAAGCCATAATTTCCTCTTCGGTAAAACAAGGAAAGGAGACTCGCGGGACTAGATTAAGACTTGAGAGACAGTGCGTCCCTCCCTCCACAAGCGTAGCAAATGGGCGTCCTCTTCGCCCCGTAGTCTTCTTGTCTGTGAAATGGGAACTCGACCAAGGAGGGCGAAGAACCCTGGAGCCCAGGGACCGCGGTGAGGGGAGACCCGCAAAGGGTGCCTCTCCCTCTCTGCCAGGGCCCCAACCGCGCGCCCGGCATCGCCCCCTCCTGGGTTTGGAAGCCAGGAGTTGGCCAGCGCGCATGCCCGGGGCGGGGCGCCGGGAGGGAGCGCGGAGCCGGCGCGGGGACGGCGGAGCGGAGTCCGCGGGTCCGCCCGCCAGCCCGGCGGTAGGCAGTCGAGGCCGCTCGGGCGGTGGTGGCGGCAGCGGCGGCGGGAGCTAGAGCGCAGTGCGCCTAGGAGAAGGAGCGGCGACACTACCAGGTAAGTGCCGCGTCCGCACATGCACCCCTCTAAGCAGGCGACGTCTACCCCTAGCCACCCTGAGAGCCGCTGTCCAAGGTCCTCGAACCGCCTGTATGGCGGGGTTCAGGATCCGCGCGGCGTGTGTCTGATGTACGCCCCGGGTGTGTGCGCGCGCTGCTGGGGGGCGCGGGTGTCCATTTCCAGTTCCCTCGCCTGGGCGGGGCGGGGGCGGGTCCCACAACCCCATCCGAACGCCCGAGGGATCCTGTGGCCCAAGATACCCGGCGTGTAGGACCAAGGTCCTGCGCCCCGCCTAGCCACGGCAGCCGCTTTGTTCCGCAAGTCCATGCGGGAGGGGGAGCTTCCCGCCACCGCGGGGAGGGGGTCCACCGCGTTGATTCATCTCCCCCCTGAAGGGAGCTAAGCCCCACAGAACACACTCACCATCACACTCAATGTAGCACACACTCAGGGATACAGTCCATACACTGTCACACTCACCTTTCGAGGTCTGCACACACACACACACACACACACACTTACTCACTCACTCATTATGGCTCTTGGTCACTCCCAGATTCATACATACAGCCACCTGTTCACCCACCCAGTACTCTAAGTGGGAGCCTTGTGTACCCATCCAGACATAGCTACGCACTCACACCAACCATCATCGCCCATAAACTCAACAGTATTACCTGATCACAGCATACACACAGAAGCCCTGCTCTGGCCTGTTTGTGCCTGTTCACAATTGCTCATGGTACCTCTCTTTCATCCCTAGGCCCTGGAGTAGGTCACACTCTCACCACTCTGTCCCACAGCTTGGCCACCTCCCAGCCCACACTCAGCCCAAGTGTGCATGTCCCTGTATGCCCACCCTTACCCTCTCGTGGATGGCTAGATAGTATAGGAGTCTTTTCAAAAAGAGGTCTGGTGAGAGGCAGCAAATTGGGATCATCAGATACACACACACACACACTCACACCTGAAAGCCCTTTGTTGGTCTTGTCATCACGGGAGAAAGTGTTTGCAGATGGCTAGCAGTCCTGACTTTACAGTAGGAAGAAATCCTAGGGGGGAATGGACTGGACCGGCCACGTCTCTGGGACTGTTCAGGCATTCCCAGTGGCTACTCTGCTCAGGAATGGGCACAAGAACCTGGGTGCATCTGCAGGCCAGTTCTTCCATCTGTGAGACCACAGCAAGTACACACTCACAGGGTCTAAGTGACCTCCATAAGACCCAAGCACAAAGCTCATTCTGCACACACTGGTTGTACATGCACACACCAAGCTCTTAAGCAAAACTCTGGAGCCAGAGCCTGGCTCCCCAGGCTGGCCTAGCTGGCAAAGAGGCCTCCAAGCTGTTTCCATGTTCCTCTGATTGCCAGGTGGGCCGGCCTACACACCTAAGGGCCATTTCGATTTTTTACCCATTAGGATGCACAGGTTTGCAGACTCATCTGTTCATGGCTGTATGTATTCCTGCAGGTGGGTGTGTGCATGTGGGGACACTCTGCTTCCTCGCTAAAGGATTGGGAGGACCCTTGGCCAAACCCCAAAGTGCAGAAAACAGATTAAAAACCAAGCATAAATGTCCAGTCTTAGCTGATATGAGCGGGAAGAACAGAGGCTTTGGGTTGAGGCACAGTAGGCTTTGAACAGTCCTGGCCCAGCTATGCGCCTTTGGTCAAATCTTTCCTCCATCTGATCTGTGTCTTTATCTATAAAATGAGACCTAGTGATAAAATGAACCTGGAGTGTTGGGCTGAGTACAGAGTGGGTGAGTGATGGAACAGGGTTCTAGAAGGAGGGTTGGGGGTGAGTAGGTAGTGCTCCAGACTTGGAAGTTCTGGAAGATGCCTGGGTTTCCTTAAAAGCTAGGAAAGACTGAAAGAACTATGAGCAGTAAAGCCTCCAGGAATGTGTATCTTGGAAGATCTTAAACCCAGAACTGGGTCAGCTCTTCCATATATGACAATATTACCCGCCCCCCATTTCACAGATTGGGAAACTGAGGCCCAGAATGTGAAAAGGCTCACCCAGAGTCATGGAGCAAGTCCTAACTCCCTGGTCAGAGTTGTATCTCTTCCTTGCCCTGAGTTTTACATCATGTCAAAGAACTTTGAGCTGGGGGCTGAGAAGCCAACTTCCTTTTGTGAGGGGTAGATTGTGGGGAGGGGAGTGATTTTGGAAGGGACAGTCACCAGCTGGGCTGTGTCTGCCTTTCAGAAGATAATAAAGACCTCTGGAAGATAATAAAGACCTGTCTGGCAGATGATTGGGTTCTATATGTAGGAAGAATAATAAGGGCTTGATGTATGAGAGGTCCTTTCCTACCTTTTTCGGTGCCTAAGTTAAAGATCAAAACTCCCAAGTGGCTACAGGCCAGGCAGATATACATTGAGGGGCTGCCTGTGAGAAAAATGACAGGGCAACTTCAGTTAGCAGCAGCAGCCGGCAGCTATGTCTGTGTTTGGGACATCAGAGGGAAAAGCGGAGAGTGTGGCTAACTGGAGTGCACACCCACAACGTGCTTTAGGGCCATATATAAAACACACTCAAATTGCCAAATTTCACTTTTCCAGGAGAATCTGGAAGCTTGTTTTTTGCATGAAATCTCATTTTTAAATGAGATTGAGATGATTTTAAATGATCAGTTTATTCCTTTAAAAATATATATTTTTGTGGGGAATAGGATCAAAAACAGTGGGGGGAGGGAAATGCACTGGACTATGGTGATGGCACATGGGTGATTTGGGGGTGGGAATCCCAAGGGGGATTGCAACTGAGATGAAAAAATGCACAAAAATATGTAAAACTAAACTATTATAAAATAAAAAAAATAATAAGAGAGAAGAGAAAACAACATGTTTTTGTAGCATTCTGGGTCAAACATGTTTAAGGGCTAGATTTTACCAGTTTCTGCCTCTGCCACGGGCTTTCTCTCCCTGCCCCCTCCTGGGAGCACAGCTGGGCCCTGACAGGCTGAGGAGATAACAACAGGCCTTCCATGTACACAGCCCGGCCCCAAAGTGAGCAGAGCTGTGCACACCCTTTATCTTCTTTAATTCTCACAGCAGCCCTGTGGGAGCATGCGATGAGTTTGTCAGGGCCCCCAAAGAAGAGAAGAGTCTTGCCCGAGGATCCAGAGCTGGTAAGTGGAAAGCTGTTCTGATTTTCTACGCAATCTCACCCAAGAGGTAGAACACTGGTTGAAGAGACTGGTGTGAAGGGGACCCCATGGATGGACTGCCGGGGGTGAAAGGACCCAGAGTTCCCATCCTACTCCCCTTGCTGACTCCTTCCAGCTTCAACCCAAGATCCATGTCCACCCACCAGGCAGTTGTTTGCCTGTTTTCCAGAGGAAGAAACTGAGTGCCTGAGAGACAGACTTGGCTAGCAGATCCCAGCCACCACCGGAACCTGGACCCAATCTCTTGTCTATCTATGTGATATCCTTTCCCACAACCCCACGGCCAGCTAGATCAGAGGTTGCAAGCAAAGACCTAAGGTCCATCAGAGATTCATAGTGGGGTTTTCTTTGGCCTGTGTGATATTTGAAAAATTAGCCAACATTTAAAATATAGGGGAAAAAACCATGTATGACTTTGATTTTAAAAGTGAGAGACCTGGCTACACAGGAAACACACTTCCTTAAATCACTCCTGGGGATTTATAGTATCTCCTCTTCCCCCATGACCCTGCATGATAAGCCCCTACCTCCTTTTCTACTTGCCTCCCCCCTCCCCCTTCCAATTCCTCTCCAGCCACTCAGGCCTTTGGGTTGCCTCACTGTTTATCCCCTATAAGGAGCCCTTCTCAACCCTGTCCACCAATTACCCAATCCTTTGTCTTCACAGCAACTACTACCATTTGAATTATATCATTTACTTGCTTACTTGTTCATTATTCTCTTCCCCCCTCACCCCCCATAACCTTTCCATACCTGGAAGGTAGGGGCCATGTATTTCTTATGCACTGTTGTGGCTCCAGTACCATGGACAGTGCTCTGTGTGTAGTAAAGGTTGACTCAAGGGTAGACTGGCCTAGTAATGAATGAATACTGGGTGCAGCTTTAGAAGGGGGTAGTACGCTCCATTGTGACACAGTCACTACCACTCCCGTTAGTCTCCCTTGCTTGTTCTGTTGTTTTTCTTATGGGAAAATAAAATTTATTTGTGCTCATATCACTACCACAAGACAAAAATGAAAACAAACCCAGTCCACAGCACTCACATCTGATGCCTGCTTAACCTCTGGGAAAGTGATCTTAGAACTCTTCATGTTTATGCTGCTGAAAACCAGATCCAAAGAATTCTGGCCAGACCTCTTCTGTGCTTCACACCTGTCTCCTAGCTGCCTCCTGGGCAGCTATGAGTCCCACAAGCACGCAGTTCAACTTCCAAAACTGAGTGCCCCCACCACCCCTGCCAAACTTCCCTTCCCCACCTCACTATGTTGAGAATGACCTCCTCCTCCCCCAGGTCTCATAACTCCCAAAAAAGCCAAGGAGATCCAGTGGGAAATAGAATCAGCTGAATCTCCATCCAGGGACTTGAGGTCTAGGCAACAACCAAAAGATATAAAAGGTACATGTAGTGACATGCGACTTCCTAGGAGGACAAAAGGCCATGGGAACCCCGATGAAGCAGGGGGGCACAGAAGACTCACTGATGGAGGAGGCCTTTATATTGAGAACCATTTAATGAGAAGGTTTAATGAGAGCCATTACAGAGGGTGTGCAGAGGCCAAGATGGGAGAAAAGGCACAGACATGGAGGAACCCAAAGAGGTTGTGCACGTGGTGTGGGTCTGCATGTGCACTTTGGGGGAAGGGAAGCCTACCTGGCAGGTAAGTACACAGGGCAAGGGAAGGACTTGAAAACACATTACACAACTGGACTTCACTCTAAAGTGCCCCCCACCATTTTTTAAAAATGCAGTTGTGTATGCATCACCCAAGTCCAAGCATCACAAAAGGATGTATAAAAAAGTCTCTTCCACCTCCAGATATTTGGTCTCACTTCCTAGAAGAAATCACTGCTAAAAATTTTGTGGGTTTCTTTCTCGAAATTGTCCTTTCATAAATAAACCCATAGATGTTTTTGTCCTTTTTCTTGGCTCCATTCATGAGATCCCACTGGCCATGCTGCCCCTGACTGTTTCCACCTAATTTATCTTGGGCATCTTTCTTCATTCTCCACACATTGTAACAGCTGTGTGAGGGGCATACATGGGGTTCTTCTGTATCTCACAAGCCAGCTTCCTGGCTTCCTTCTCATGACCAGCCAAGTCCTCATGCACCCTCAGTCCATCTTCAGAACCACCTCTGGAGGTGGCTTGCTGGCTGAAATGCCATGTGCAATTTAAATGATGGTATAAATTGGTAAATGTCCTCTCAAAAAGTGTATAACCATTTACTTCCCCAGCAAGATTGAGGAGGATTTTGAGCACAGGAGTAGTGTGGTTGGATCAACAGCTTAGAAAGATCATTCATTCCTTCATTTAACATGTATTTATTGGGAGCTACTTGTTTACTACATGCTAGTTGTTGACCTTGACCCTGAGGGTCCATTAGTCAACGCAGCCAAGTCACCACCCTCTTGGAGCTGACATTTTAATGAGAGACAAATCATATGCAATAAATAAATGTATGAAATATGTGGGGCAGTGACAGGTGCTATGAAGAAAACTCAGCTAGGAAAAGGGTGAAGGAATTCCAGCCAAAGCGGAGAGGAAACTGTTTTATACAAAGGGAGTTGGAGAAAGTCTCAGGAGCAGATCATGTAGCTATCTGCAGGCGAGGAAAGGACCAGTGCAAAGGTCGGAAGGCAGCATGAATTCACTGATCAGTGGCTGAAGCACGGTAACTGAGGGTGAGTGACAGGAGAAAAGCCCTAGAATGGTGATAGGGCAGGGTCTTGTGGGCCATTGTAAGGGGTTTAATTTACTTTGCCTGAATGTGGGAAACACTGCATGGTTCTAAACAGAGAAGGAGCACAGTCAGCCTCAGGTTTTTACGAAGGTGGCTCTGGTGGCTGTTTGAACATGAACGTGAGGTGAAGGTGAAAACCAGTAACTTAGGTGGGAGATGGTACAGGATTAGCTAAGTATAGAGTATAGGGTAGTGGTTGGATTCTGGATATATTTTGAATGTAGATGCATTATGTTTTGCCAATGGGTGGAAACTGGGGTGTAAGAGTAAGTTAAGGGTGTTGCTAAGAATTTGAGCCTGCGTGCAGCTGAATGCTAGTGAGAGGACTTTGGAGAAGATAGGGGAGGAGCATGGTTCTGAGGAGGAACTGAAAGCTTCAATCCCTTTGGCTGTTGAATGTGTCATGAAAGAGAATTGCCCCTAGATACAGCTGTTTAGCAACATCTCTGGATGTCCCTAAGCACCACACACTTGCTCGTCCCACACACAATTCCCTCTTTCCCCACATCTCCTGCCCAGTTCCCCAACCCTAGCCAGAATTCTTTGGGTCACCCTTACAGGTCACCGTCATAGTCCCTACAGCCAGCGGGTTTCTGTCCATTTTTCTCAGTCTCTCTAGTTCTCCATCCCCGCACCTTTTCTGTACAATCTCTCTTCTGGGTTGCTGCAGCTACTGCAAAGTAGGGATGGGTGAACACATGAAGAATTGAATGAATGATGAATGAATGAATGAATGACCAACTCTGCATGGTCTCTCCTCCAGCCCAAACTCCACACCCTCCCAGGCAATTCCTTTTTTTTTAAAGATTTATTTATTTGTACATACAGAACTGGGGTACAGGCCAGAGGCACAGGGATGGTGAGAGGCTTCACCAGAGACAGAGTGGGGAGCAGAACAGGCAGATCAACAAAGTACACTGCTGAGGGGAGCAGCAGGCAGGTCAGGAGAGGTCTGCCGCACCATGTGGTCACATCTGGGGCAGTCAGAGATCGAACTCATGTGGAAGTGGCTTTAGGTTCTTAGTGCTGTGCTTTAACCTGCTGCACCATGATGGAGGGCCCACCCAGGCAATTTTTGAAAACCCCATATATTAGACTGTGTCCCTTCCTTGACTATAAACTGTTTCTCCCCAGGACTTACACAGACAGCCTACAGCCATGTTTTGTTTGACCAACATAGTCCCAGTTTGATTTTGTTTCATTTTTAATCTTGAGTTAATTAGGATATTTTCCATTAAAGTTGTGGATTTCCCACTTCTCGCTGGTACTACTAGGCTGCATTTCTCTAAAACAGCATTTGACTGAGGGGGCGCTGGCTCCTGCTCTACACAGGGCACACACTCCCAGCTTTGTTCTAGTCCCCACCACACCCTAATGTTCTGCACAGCTTGTTTCCATCACTTAAATGACCTATCTGGCCTTGTGGCATCAGGGTTTGTGATCAGGACTCAGAAACAAAAGCATAACATCTGGGCATCATGTGGCAGGGTGAGGGGGCATGGCTGACAAGAGGAGTCTGAAGGTAGATGAAGCTGAAAATTATGAAGGACCTTGAATGCCAGTTTGGGAAATCTGACCTTTATCCAGAGGCATGCCAAGAGCACTGAAGCAGAGTGACATGGCTGGATTCATGTTTTTAACCTGGGCCCTCTGGGTAGGATGGGGGGCAGAGAACTCTATGAGGAGGCTGAGCTGCTAGGAGGGGGGAAAGGAGGAGACCCCCTGCCAGGCTTCCCCTGAATCTGAGTCTGTTCTCTCTGTGTTTCAAAACCAGATAGCAGCCTGGAGGCCAAGCATGATCATGAAGACAGTTGGACAGTGCTGAAGACCCAGCCTGGATCCAGTAGCTTTGAAAGGACTCCAGCCCCCCAGGACCCCAGTCCATAGCCCTCTGACACCCACAGGATGGGAGCCTGGGGGCAGGGAGCCTGGCCATGAGGGACTGCGATCCCTCCCGGCAAAAGGCCAGCCCTGCACCTCCCAAGTACACTTCCGCACGAGGTCCCGGCATGGACTCTAGACACAGCAGCCCCAGTGGGGCAGGGGAGGGCACCTCCTGCTCTGAAGGCCCTGGCGGGAGCTTGGTCTGCCCCTCCCTGACTTGCACCCCTCCCCAAGAGGCAAACACCAAGGAGACATTGAGGGGAAATGAAGCCTTGATCTCAGGGACACTAGAAACCACATTCTCTGGGAAGTCAGAGCCCATGTCCTCAGTGAAGACTGATCCCTCACCCTCGGAAAACAGAAATCCTGTGTTCTTGGAAAAGATGGATTCCAAGTCTTCAAAGCTGGCAGACTCCACTCCCATAAGAAAGGAACATGCTGAGTCCTTGATGAAGGCAGGTCCCACATTCACAGGAAAGACAGAGCCAGCAACCTTGGGAAAGGGAGGTCCTGTGACTTCTGGAGGAATGGACCCTGTGGCCCCAAGAAAGGAGGAAGCTGGATCTTTGGGAAAGGTAGAGCTTGCATGTTTTGGTAAGATAGATATGATGTCCCCAAGCAAAGAGGAGCCTAGGTATTCAGGGAAAGAGCTTTCTGCATCCTCAGAAGAGGTGTGCCCTGCATCTACCAGGAAAGCAGATCTTACATCCTTGGGAAAGAAAGACCTTGGGCCCTCTGGGAAGGCAGACCCTGTATCCTTAGACAACCCAGTTTCTGCAGCCACAGGAAAGACAGATCCTGGGACCTTGGGAACTCTGACTCCAGGGTCATGCACAAGTGAGCCTGTATCCCCTGGGGCAGTGGCTCTGGGGCCAGCAGGAAGGGTGGCTCCTACACGCTTGGAGATGACCGATCTTGTATCTGTGGGAAAGACAGAAACTGTGTCCTCCACAAAAGAAGACCTTCAGTTCCTGGGAAAGCTGGACACTGCATCCACAGGAAAGGAGACTCCTGTGCCTATAAGGATGACAAAAACCGTGCCTGGTGGCCTAGTGGATCCCATGTCCTCAGGAAAGACGGGTTCCATGTCTGTGGAAAACGTGGAACCCATGTCTTCAGGCAAGGGGGTTCCTGTGTCCTCAGGAAAGCCAGAACCCTCATCTGTGGGGAAGACAGAGACTGTATCCTCAGGAAAGAAGGACCCAGAGACCTCCAGAAAGGTGGATTCCATATCTGTGGGAAATACAAAGACATTAACTTCCAGAAAAGTGAATCCTGAGTCTTCAGGAAAGAAAGAATCTGTACCCTCTGAAGTAGGGGATCCCAAGTTCTTGGAGACAGCAGAGCCCTCATCCTTTGTGAAGGATGAGGCAGGGACTAGGGAAAAAGCAGGTCCGGTGGCCTCTGGAAAAGTGGCTGTACCTGTACACCCCATGAGCAGGGGGGAGGCAGAAACTGTTACACCTGGAGAAGTGGACTCAGTGTCTTCAGGAAAGGTGACCCCCATGACTCTTGGGAAAACAACCCCAGCAATACCTATTCCAGAGGGAAATGTGGACCCCCTGCCTCTAGAGAAGGAGGGCCCTGAGAAGGAGGGCCCTGTGAAGGCCGCAAAGGTGGACCCCAGGGCTTTAGGGAAAGCAGACGCCACTATTTATGAGGGCAAAGCAGAAACAAGGCCTTCTGGGCTGGAGAGTCCAGCTTCATCAGGAAAAGCAGGGGCTGCATCTTTGCAGGAGCCACCAGCTTTGGAGAAGGTGGATCCCGGAGGCTCGGGAAAAGCAGATCCTCTGGACTCTGGGAAGGTGGAGGCTGTCTCCCTGGGGAAGGGCGACTCTGGACCTCTGAGAAAAGCAGAGCCCCCACCCTCGAGGAAAGCAGTCTCCCCGACTCTGGACAAGGCAGAGGCCTCCTCAGTCAAGCAGTCGGATAGCAAAGCCTGCGGCTCAGGCCTTTCTCCTGCAGGGGCTGGCAGCAGCGGGCGCAGCACAGAGGCAGACCCTGCGCCCAGTGCGCTGGCTTCCAGCCTGGGTCAGAAGGACCAGGCGTGGCCTGGCGCCGAGAGGAGTCCAGGGCCGGAGGCTGCCGCCCCCGCACCCGGGCCGCGGACTCGCGACAACTTCACTAAAGCGCCGTCGTGGGAGGCGAGCGCCCCGCAGCCTGCACGCGAGGACGCCGGCACGCAGGCGGGCGCGCAGGCCTGCGTTTCGGTGGCCTTAAGCCCCATGTCTCCGCAGGATGGCGCTAGCGGCCCGGCCTTCAGCTTCCAAGCGGCGCCGCGCGCGTCTAGCCCAGAGCCCCCGCCACCGTCACGCCGGGACGCGGGCCTGCAGGTGTCGCTGGGCGCCGCCGAGACGCGTTCGGTAGCCACCGGGCCCATGACGCCGCAGGCCGCGGCGCCTCCAGCCGCACCGCCCGCCTTCCCCGAAGTGCGGGTGCGGCCGGGCTCGGTGCTGGCGGCTGCGGTGGCGCCTCCGGAGGCGGCTGAGCCCGTGCGCGACGTGAGCTGGGACGAAAAGGGCATGACATGGGAGGTGTACGGCGCCGCCATGGAGGTCGAGGTGCTGGGGATGGCCATCCAAAAGCATCTGGAGCGACAGATCGAGGAGCACGGGCGCCAGGGGGCGCCAGCACCGCCGGCCGCCGGCCGCCCAGGTCCCGGCCGTGCGGGCTCCGTGCGCACCGCACCCCCAGACGGTGCGGCCAAGCGCCCGCCCGGCCTTTTCCGCGCCCTGCTGCAGAGTGTGCGCCGGCCGCGGTGCTGCTCGCGGGCCGGGCCCACGGCCGAGTGATCTGTTCCCCTTTTGTACACCCGATTCCGACCTTCTCAGGCTCCCTTCTAGTCCCCAGATCCGTTAGAAGGGAACCCCTCGCGCAACAGGCCTCCCGGGTGGACAGCCTTAGGGCCTTCTCGTCCCCTACTTTCGCACCCTTTCCCGCCCCCAACCACGCAAATGAACCCCACTACCCTGCTCCTTCATGGTCATAAGCCCAAGAACCCAGCCCTGTTACCCCACAGTCCCTCAGTCTTAAGCCCCACTCCCTCCCAGTCACACTTGGTGGCCTTGGGGACCTGCTTAGCCCCCTCAGCCCTGAGAGTTGAGGCAGGCTCCTGAGATGTCCAAACAGGTGTGTGGAAGGGGAACCAGATCCCCAGAACAGGAGAAACTGTACTAAAGCTCCAAGTGTGTGAGGATTGGTGTGTGAGACCCTGAGTGTGCGAGACCCTGAGTGTGTGAGGCCCTGAGTGTGCGAGGCCCTACGTGTGAGGCCTGGGCGTGTGTGAGTGCATGTCCACGCAGCGGGCTGGCCCCCATGGCCTGGGCATCTCTTGCATGCTGATGGTAGTCATCCCCCACTCCTGTGTCCCCTCACCTGACCCAACCCCTAGCCCTACTTATCTCTACCCTCCCTGGACGCCAGTTCACAAATCCCAGACAGGCCAAAGGCAGCTGCAGGGGTGTCCTGGAGGTGTACAGGAAGGTCACAGGAAGGTCAGAGGGTCTCAGAGGTGACCAGAGATCACAGAGGCTCCTGGAAGATTTGGGGCCGCTGGCAGCTTGGGTGACAGCTGGTTTTGTGTACTGGGGACAGGGCAGGGCTCTTCTTCAACCACAGTTGTCCCTTACCAACCCCTCATCCCCCCTGTGCTGTGAACCCCACAATTCCCTTGTGACCACACCATCCCCACCCTTCCAGTCGCGGTTTTTTGGCTACTGTCACAGTATACATTGGTAATAAAACTTCCCCCCAAATTCGGTCAGCTGTGATTGGCTACAAGTAGAAGGCGACTGAGCAACATGATATATTATTATGTTCAGGGAGGGGTAGATATAATTTGGGGGTGACAAGTCCTCTTCAAAGGTGGACCAGAAGAGTGGGGGCCCACCTGGGGTTCTGAACATCCCACATCATAATTCTATGGTGTCCATGCCATCATTGGTGAAAGACAGCTCTTCCTTCCGTTTGCTCCTGTGTGCATTCCTTCCAGACAGCTCCATGCTCAGGGACTCTGCATCTGGCTCCTTCGCTCTGCTGCTCAGGGCATCCTTTGGGGGAGAGGAAGGGTAGCAGTGAAGCTCAAGGTGGAATCACAAGCAGATGGCTCCTTGAGTAGGGCCCAGCTACTCCTTGGCCTCAGTGTTCTTGCTGTGACCACGGCCACTGGCGGTGTAGATGGAGTCTCTCCACCTGCCCAGTTTACCATGGCACGCACATGATTCATCTCCCTGCCTTTCCTGTCCCCTCTCCTGCACACTCCTACACACAACCCCTTACGAGTACACCCCCATGTGGACCAGCCAGACCCCCAGGCTCACTGCTCCACCGCTGACACCACGAAGGGAGAGCCCCAGTGCCACCACCCACTGCAGGGCACTCCAAGAGCTTTTCCAGGCACTGTTCCAAGGCGCTGTTCCAGTCCCTGCTAAGCAGTAGGACAACTGAGGGACCCAGAGGGCTCCTTGATCCCCAGAATCTTGCCACAGACACCTACTGGGAAGTGTTAGCTCAGTGCTGCCCAGGACAACCTGGTCCAGAAGACACAAGCCCTGGGAACCAGTATACCCTTGCCTTGCCAGGTCTCCAACTGTGGAAAAGGCAACCCCCATTTCTGGCCTTGGTGTCAGGGGAAGGTGGAAGTCTGCCACAGAAAATTTTAGGGAGGTCCTCAGTGATTCTGGGCACCAGAGGTCCTTGGCAAAAGGCCCTATTTATGTTCCCCACCCAGGCAAGAGAAAGGCAGAGTGGACAGTCCAATGACCCAAGAAGCCCCATGGAAGGCTGCACCTGCCCAAAGACCCCAAGATGCACTGACTGCTGCAGGGGAGTGAGGGGCTCAGACAGCTCATCAGAAATACCCCCACCCCCTAGAGAGGGGAATGGGATCAAAACTGAGGCGGGAAGAGCACACGGGACTGTGGTGATGGCACATGGGTGAGTTGGTGGTGGGAAGTCCACGGGGATTACAGCTGAGATGGAAAAAGGCACAAAATGAAGAATGATGTTAAAAAAAATAAATATATTAAAAAGAAGAAAAGAAATCCCCCTCCCCTGCTTTCTCAGGACAGTTATAGCTCTCCCTGCTTTGAAGACTCTCAGAGGCCTGGCTGCGCCCTCTTCATGCTCTCCTCTCCCTGCCCCTCTCCAGCCAACAGCCATCCCCGTCCCACCTCTGCCACCTCTCACTTCCCTCTGGAGCACATTTTGGCCTCTACCTGGGACTCCAGCTCCAAGCTGTCAGGGTCTTCTCTTCCAGTCTGTGCCTCCCCCACCCCCAACACAAGCTCAAGGACGTTTTTGTCCCAAACTATCTCAGAGATAGATCTGTCCACCATGAGGCCTCCCACCCAGCCTGGACTGCCCCCATGATGCCACGCTTGGGAGCTGTTTATAAGCACCATTCACAGGGAAGGTGGGAACCCCGGGCCGGCAGGGCCTTGGCTATAGGCAAGACCCAAGTGGGTGGATTTGTAGAGGCTGGGTGGACACTTGCCTGCTGCTCTAAGTCAGGGGCCAGCCCACTGAGGGTGAGATCTTGCCTGCACATTCCAACCCCAGCAGTTTTAACAACACATTCATGCCCAGGCCCATCACAGGATCAGAATCTCCCATGTTCCCTGGCACCACTATGTGCAAAGAGCTCCCTAGGTGATTCAGCAGTCCAGGCTGAGGGTTCTTGATCTAATCTAACCAACTGACTGGCCCAATGATGCTACTGCTATTTCTTTGAGCCTGCCTTCTCTCCTTTGCCAGAGTATGTTCACCTCTACATTTTATCCCCACTCCCACCTCACCAGCTTTTAAATAAAGGCTAGAAAAGGAGGGAGCCTGCATTTTGAGCAATTGTCTTGTGCCAGGTGGTTCTTATCCTTGCTCTTAATTAATCTTCACAAAAGTCCTACATGGTGGATGTTTTGATTCCCTTTTATAGATGATAACGTGAAAGCCGGAGCTCATCCTCCCCGGGTCACAGTAAACAAGTAGAGAGGCAAGGATCAGACCCCCTTCCGATGTCAAGGGGCTTCCCAGAGCTGGTGCAGAGATATGCCCATCTCAGTAGTAGGTCCCTTCAAAAACCCCAGGTACCAGCTCCCCATCTTGCCTTGGCTTCCTGTTTGTCCTTATCCAGGTCCACAGAATTCTCATCCAGGGAGTTGATGCTGGAGAAGGTGGGGGGAAGAAGAGAGGAGAATACAAGAAATCAGAGAGACGGCAAGTCTGGTCCTCCCTGTTTGTGGCCAAGAACTACTACTGCCTCAGCCACCATCACCACCTCAACCACAATCACCACCATCACCTCCATCACCATCACCATTACATCATCACCATCTTTACTACCACTCCAGCACCACCGCCATCATCATCACCATCACCACACATCACCATGACCCCATACCACCTCCATTATCTTCACCATCCCCATTCTTACTCCACCACCATTGCTTCTACCACCATCCCACCAGCACCATCATCCCCATCGCCACTACCTCCTCCTTACCATCATCACCATCACCATCGCCATCATCACCACCATCTACCATCACCATTTCTACTATCATCTGCCATCACGAGCCAGCCTGACGATGAGGGACACTGCTTACCTGACATTATCCAAGTCACTGGAGGAAGATTGGGACTCAAAGCCCAGGTCGTTGGTGGTGAGGTTCAGCATGGGATTGGCCCTGGAGAGAAGGCCCAGTCAAGCAGCTGTGGGCCTCAGCTATCCTAGGGGGCCTCGTACCCACCCACCCTATGACCCGGGCTTACTTCTCAGTGTTGAACATGTTAGTCCCGGGGATGGCAGAGACTGAGGGAATTACACCTGTCACTGTCTTCCGGGCTTCCTTGGCAGCCTTTGTAGCCCGAAGCTTCCTCTCGTAGCTATGAGAACAGATTGGGGGTCACTACTTTGTCTGCACACCCACTATGTGCTTAGTGCAGGCCCAAGGGTGTGGCTTCACCACATCCTAGCAGGTAAGGACATCAGTGCCATTTCACAGAGAACATGGGTAAGAGTCAGGGAAATGAAAGAATTTGCCAAAGGCCACAAAGCTGGCCAGCAGCAAAACCTAGAGTCAAGCCCAGATGAGGCTGCTGACCCCAAGAATATTGGAAAGGAGGGAAGAAGCAGTGTTTCTTAAAGGCGTAAGTTGGGCCTGACATCTTGCTGGGTGCGAGATCGTGTTCTGAAGATGAGGAAACTGAAGCTCAGAGGGGAAGGGGAGACGACCTCCCCACAATGTCACAACATGTTACCGGGAATTAAATACAGATTCTGACACCCAAGCCCGTGGTCTCTCTACCTCCCCCCAACCCCGGGTATGAATGTCTTTAGTTGGAGGACACAGGGAGTATGGGACCATACCTCCTCCGGACACATATGAGGGACACAGCCATGATCACGATGACCAGCACCAGCGCCACTCCCAGGCCAATGATGACACTACTGAGCACCTTCGGCAGACTCGACTCCTGCCTCTCCTCGGAACCCTGGAGAAGAAGGAGTGTGAAGGAGGCCATGGGATCAACAATCCCCCCTGCCCACCCCCAAAGTCCTCTATGCTGCCCACACTCACCACCACCACCAGCCCCAGTTGCAATAGCTGTGTCAGTGAGTCCTGGTCGCTCCGGATCACCCTGGTCACAGAACCCCATTCAGTCCCAAGGGACACTGACATCCCCAGGCTCCTGCTCACCCCCAGGGCAGCCCCACTCACACAATCAGCTCGTCAAGCGTCAAGGCTGTCCCGTTGGGGAAAACGAAGTAGGCATCCATGTAGGAACGGCCTCTGGCCCTGGAATGGGGAGAGGAGGGTAAAGGTCATCCGCCCTGCGCAACCCAGCAGGTCCCTCCTGCTTCTGCTGCCCTTCCTCAGCCCAGCCTCGGGCCTGTGGGTTCTCACCGGGCGGTGGTGTCTATGTTCTGAATGTTCACGATGTAGACTGTAGCCTTGGTCACCTGGGTAAGAGCCCTGCAAAAGGGGCAGATGTCACAGAGACCTGGGGGAGGACGTTAGCTCAGGCCCTCCATTCTGCCAGTGGAGTTAGCAATCCAGTGAGTTAGAAAGGGGGTCCTCCCCTGCCACTCCAGGGACTATGCAGATAACACCCCTGCAGATTAGAGGTGGGGCCGGGGTTACAGCTTAGCAGGCAGTGTACTCTTGTGCCGTGCACAGCCTTTGCAACTGTACATGGCAGCTCACTTAGGCCTCTCAGGGTCTAGCCAATCGTAGGCTTCTGGGGGCATGCAAAAAGGAAATGCAGGTAAAACAGAATTAAAGACAAGGTCAAGTGTGGCTCAGGGCAGGTCGACAGACCAGGCTCCCAGACCCTGTTTCCCCTACAGACCTCTCCACAGCTCCCCCAGACATACGTCTTAATGTCTTCCGACTTGAGGCCCACGTCCTCCTTGTTCATGGAGAACTGTAGCCTCAGACGATAACTCTCATCCACAGTGAAGAGCTGTGAGAGGAAGCAGAGAGGGAGATAAGGCACAGGACCAGGGACTGGCGGAAGGCACGGGGATTGGAGGCAGGGCCTGACACTCACATTCAAGGTGATTTTGGCTTCCAGGGGTTCATATTGAGAAGGTTTGTCCTGGGCCCGGACCGTCACTTGATAAGTGCCTTGGCGAGTGGCATTAAGGTTGGTCACCAGCCTATGGAAGGAGGAGGGCACAGCCGTTTTGGAAGCTAAACTGAACCCACTATCTACCTATCAGGGTGTGCTCTGCCTGGAGGTGCTTTTGGTTCACCCCACACCCCCACCCATGGGCTGGCCCATGGTTACTTGATGCTGCCGACAAACACACTGGAGTCTACAGAGGTAGAGATCCAGAAGCCTGGGGAAGGAATTATGGTGCCTTCCTTAGAGATGAAAACCATTTGGTGAATGGAGAACTCGATGTTTCCGTTGTCCCCTGTGTCATTGTCTTTGGCCTGAGAAGAAAAGTGAACCACATCTAGGGGCCAGGCCAGGCAGCTCCACCCCATCCCAGCAAGGACCAGAGGGCAGGGTGGCCCAGGCAGATGGCTCTCTGCCACGCTTCCCCAGGCCACCCCAACTATGTGACTGGATTAAGCAGTGCCTACAAGTCCCCGTCCCTAGGCCCTGGCTGACAGGTCACCACCCAAAGAGGGTACAGCTATTTTTATTCATTCCAGCACATCTTAGAGAAAAATAGAACCACGAGTCAACAGACATCACTGCTCAGGATGAGACAAAATGGTATTTCAGTTTCAAGGAGTCCATGTAAACAAAATTGTCCAAAGCCAAGGCGCTAGGAGGCAATTGGCTTATGCTGCAAAATTGACCCTTTAAAGCTTAAAAGAACCTCAAAAGGGGGCATCATTATTCCCACTTTAGGAGAAGAAATTGGGGCTCTGAGAAAAGCCCTGATGGGCTGGAGGCTCAGTGCTGAGTGGGGGAAGACTGGGCTGTCCCCCTCCTAGACCTGTGTCCTCTCTGGTGTCCTCTCGGTGTGCTCTCTGGTGTGGTGGCCAAGTACCACCACCTCTGCCCCTAAGAGGCTCCCACCACCAACCCCCGGAGGGAAAGTGACAGACAAGGTGGTTCTCCAGGTAAGAGAGGTCTGCAGCCGGCCCAGGGCCGCGGGAGGCCGCCTCTGCTGCTTGGGTAGCTGCTGCCCTCCAACAAACAAGCCTGTGTCCGACACCATAAAACACTGAAAGTGTTTTTCTAATTTTGCTCTGGAAATGATTAACTGCAAGGACCTCGTTACATTTATAGTTGCTATGATTTCTCTGCAATACTCAAAAATTCTGGTATAGTGAGCAAAGTCTAGCCTGCAAGAGGTTTTAATGGTCATGAAATTTTTATGAATACTGAATGTAATAATTAATGGTTTTTAATTATATCAATTAAACAGGTGTTCCTTCCATACTAGGGTTTTCCTTTCAGATATCAGAGCCAATAAGTCTCCTTCCTGGCACTATAACATGTTGGGTGCATCTGGAAGGCCTGAGAAGACCTTAGCCCTGTGTCCCCCGGTGTCTCCCTGACAATGGGAGGGACAAAAGACTTACTCTCACGGTAGCCACCTCCTGGTTGGGGAGCACGAGCTCTGGGATGATCACTGCAAGTGCAGAAAGGAAGATCAGGGGTATGGGGCTCAGGCCCACCTGGCCTCGTGCTGAGGCCCAACTCAGAGCTCATCCCTCCAAACCTGCCCTCTCAGGCTCCCCACTACCAGAGACTCCCTTTATGCCCTCCCCTACTCATCGGTTCTCAGGCCACCCACTTTCCATTGAAGAGGTGGGGAAATGGAGGCCCGGAGACGGGGGTCTGGCCCACAGTCAAGTAAGAGTTTGGACACAGCTGGAGTCAAAACTCAGGTCTCCCCTCTTGTTGAAACCCTAGGGAGAGGCAGGATTAGATGCCTTCTAATCTGGGGCCTGAGAAGAGTCTATGGGAATCAACCAAACGTGCACCTGGCAGAGCGGATGGAAGGAAGGGGGGAGGGTTGCTGCGTACCAAAAGTCTTTTCCTCAGGCAGAAAGTAGGGTGCGTTGTCATTCACATCTTTGATGGTGATGGGGAGGCTTCCTAGGGAAACAAGGTGGCCCAGCTGTGGTCTCTAGGCAAAGGCCTGCCCCAGAAAGCCTGAGCCCCAGCCAGTGGGCTGCCCCCTTCCGTGCATCACCCGTGGTCAGTTCCCTTCCTTGCTCCTGACCACAGAGCCCACTCAGTCTACTCTGCTCTTTGCTAGAGGGAGTGTCTTCTCCACACCTCAGAAAGGGCAAACAACCTGTCCGAGGTCACACAGCAAGAACAGGGGATCAAGCCCAAGCCAGGCCTGTGTCACCAGACCACATTCTATAGATACTTGCTAGCTGTGTGGGCTAGCCTATTTAGCTGCCTACTCTGTTCTTCGGCCTCCTCACCTGTAAGGTTTGGATAGGGGACTGTGGGAGAAAAGTGAAAAAAAATGTACATGGAACCCAGCACAGCTCTTGGCTGGAGGAAGAACTCAATACACGCTAGCTGCTAATATGATTACTGGTGTCAGAGGTGGGATAAGAGTGCTCTTTCCTTCACACCACCTCAAACAACAGCAGTGTGTGCTGCATGTCAAGCACTATGCCAAACACCTCACATGCATGTTCTCATTTAATCTTCACAGCCAAATACTACTCAGCGCCACTTAACAGATGGAGAAATGGGCGTTTACGAGGTTTTATGATCCACTGGTGACTCAGCAGTTAAAATCTGGAACCAGGGCCCTCCCTGGTGGGTTAAAGCACAGCACTAAGAAGCTAACGCCACTTCTGCATGAGTTCGATCCCAGCCCCGGAGTTGATCCACATGGTGAGGCAGACCTCTCCTGACCCGCCCGCTGCTCCCCTCACCAGTGTACTTGTTGATTTGCCTGTTCTGCTCCCTACTCTGTCTCTGTTGGAGCCTCTCACTGCCTGTGCATCTCTGGCCTGTTCCCCAGTTCTGAATGCATAAATAAATAAATCTTTAACAAAAAAATCTGGAGCCAGAGTTTGAACCCAGACCCCAGGGATCCCAGCCCAGGGCTCCCTCCCAGGTCTTTAGGCCCTGCCAAACCTCACAGGCCAGGCCATCTCACCATTGTCACTGTAAGCCTGGAAATTATTTTCTGTTCTGAGGTCATGGGCCCGCACAATCAGTGTGACCAGGTCACAGGTCTCATAATCGATGGCACTGCTCTGATTGATGAACACGGAGCCATTGTCCAGCACAGAGAACCAGTCGTGGCACACACTGCCCATGTCACTACTGGCATTGGTACAGATCACGTTCACAAGCTGTATCTCCAGTTGAGCTGTGGTATCTACATCCTGGGCAGTCACATTTGTCACCAGGCCGTGCTGCAGGCCGTTCTCAGCCACAGAGACACCCTGAAGCGAGGCTAAATTCAGAGTGGGCGGCTCATCATTCACATCCTTCACCTTCACCGTGACGTTTACTGAGGTGCTCCCCACTCCAGGGTCTGGGTTCTCAGCAGTCACGGTCAGATTGTAGGAAGCCTGTGTCTCATAGTCCAGCTTCACACCCGAAGGTAGCCAGAGGTTGCCCATGGCCTGCCCAGAATTTGTAGTAGGAGGCCCCGAGACTTTAATTATGAAGTTGTTGGCGCCCGCCCCCGACAGGCTGAAGCTGATGCGGTTGTTGGCTTCTGTCTGGTCTGCGTCCGAGGCCAACATCACGCCCACCAGCACGTCTGTGGACAAGGGGCTGTGTTAAGGGGTCCCCTGACCTCACCTCCCCCAGGGAATGGTCAGATGCCCCACCGATCCCCGGCCCCAGGGTCAAGCTTGGCTCAGAAAGGACTGACCTGAGATAGTCTCATTTACCCAGAAGGTGTAGTTGGTCTGGTTGAAGATGGGGAGATTATCGTTGATGTCCTGCAAGCAGAGGCAACACTGAGCCCAGGGCCCCCAGACACCCCCAGGGTTCAACCTCCCAGAGCCAATGTGAGAAATCAATCCTTGCTCTGGCCGGAGGCACGTGTCCCGTCAGACAGCAAGGCCCACTTCACAGATGTGGGCATGTTTGAGACGGACCCTGAAGAGGTCAGACTAACCCAGCTCACACATGGGGGCTCAGAGGCCCACGGCAGAACCTCTGTGCTCAGTTCCGCTCTTTAAGGGTGCCCATTCCCCTCACTCTTTGTCTGGCCACGGCTCAGAACTATCTTAAACCCTGCTTTTTGGAAGGCGGGGAGTCCCTGTCAGGCCCAACTTGCCCCTCCACCTCAGACTTTGGCACCAATATTGCTATGTTTCCACAAAGGCCCTCGGCCCAAGAGTTTCTCATCCTTTTCTCTTCTGCTCCTCCTGCCCTTCACCAGTTTCACTCCATGTGTCCCCTGCTCTGGTAGAGCTGGACTTGAGCCTCTGCTAGGTTGAGACTGTTCTCAGACGCTGGCTGCCCTCTGCTGCTCCCCGCCCTGCACACCCCACCCACCTGGCATACAGCTCAGTACTGGGGGATCCCTGGGCTTTTCCAGCCCTCCCCCAGAGCAATCCCAAGATCTGCTTTCGCTTTCCAGTAGTAGAAATGGTCGCTTTGAAAACAAAGCCCTCTTTTGGTGGTGATTTCCCACAAATGGCATTACTTGCTCCCCACACAGGGATAGCTGCATTGCCAAGGTTGTCCTAACTCATAAGCGCGACTAAGAAAATCTCTGAGTCAGAGCAACTCTGCCTCTGCTTCTCAGAGGCCATTGTCCTGGTTGGGCCTCGATGTGTTCATCCGCAAAATGGGGCAGAAGTCCCCACTGTCAGTGCCCTTGTGACAACCAGCTCTATATGGGCAGGACTACTTGTCCTTGTAAGAAAACAACATATCCCAACCCAGTAAGACAGAGCTGCTGGTTGGGCTGGTGCAGGCTGTGCAGACCCCTGGGAAGCACCGCCCTAGATGACATGGGTGACCCCACACTTTTCTAGAGGAAGGTGAGTGCAGGCTGATGGCAGCCTTAGAAACACAGATTGGGGACCCTCCCTGGTGGCACGAGGGTAAGGACGCAGCACTGCAAGCTGGCGGCAGCCACTTCAGTGCTAGTTTGATCCCTGCCCCGGGGGTGATCCACATGGCCCGGCAGACCACTCCTGACCTGCCTGCTGCTCCCCACTCTATCTCTGACTGCCTCTCAATCCTCTCACTGCCCCTGCACCTCTGGCCTGTACCTTAGTTCTGTATGCATAAATAAATAAATCTTAAAAAAAAAAAAAAAGAAAGAAAGAAAAGAAACACAGATTGGGCTTGAAACCCTATTCTGCAACCCCCAGCAAGCTATTTGACCTCTGTGCATATTTCTCAATCAATAAAAAGTGATGGCCATCTCTACCTGCAAGTCAGAAGACACTGTAGATACTGGCTTTCCCCCATGAATAAGGGAGGGGGAGAGGTAGGAGGGTATCGGTTAGGACTTTGCAAACGATAATTAGGGTACTTTCTATACGTTGGGTAATCTTCAATGCAGTTGTCATGTGTTAACTCACTCTGTATTATTTTCATCCCCATTTTACAGACAGGAAAGTTGAGGGCACAGATGATGGAGTGACTGCCTAAGGGCACACAACCAGTGCACAAGGATTCTTTACCCACCAAATTGCAAAGGGGAGAAAGATGACTTAAGTTGGGGCAGAGAGAAGCTGCTATCTGTTCAGGTAGCCCCAACACAGGGCCCATGTGACACCCCAGCTGAGCCAGGCCTTACCTCCACATTGATGGTGACATTGGCCAGAGTGCTGCGCCGAGGCTCGCCACAATCACTCACATTCACAGTCACTATGAAGCGGCCCTTGAGGCTGGGGTCGATGTGTTCTCGGTCCAGGGGACTCACATTTGTGAGGATCCCTTTATTGGAGTCCACAGAAAAATTGCTGAAGCTCTCAGACAGTGTGAATTGAAGTTTGCTGTTGTTGGTTTCTGGTTGGTCTCCATCAGAAGCCTGTACAGATCAGCAGGGTTGGGCATCAGACATCAGGGCTTCCCAGCCCCACAATCCCGCCCCTGCAGCCTAGCCTTCCCCTCCAGTTCTGGCTCATGAGGGCAGCAATTGGGCCTGAAGCCAGTGGGACACTGTCAATCTACCAGCCTGTCTACCATCTAAGAGGGTCAGATCAACAGTTTGCAAGAGTTTCTGAGTATTGAGGTCATTCATGTTTATGGTATACCAACCTGTGCCTGTATTAGGCAATGGAATAGAATCCTGATCAAGATGGCACCCTTATGGAGCTGATATTCCAGTGAGAAGGGAGATGGGAACAGTATACCACAGATATTCAAATCTTAAATAAATATAAAATTGGTGTGATGCCCAATAAGATTCTGATTTTCTGAGATGACTACTTCAATACTGTAGTTCTGAAATAGCCGATTCCTCACCCATTGTGTATGTGTGTGTGTATGTGTTCCTGTCCTGCTGCCAAAGTGCTGAATACATGCTTAGTTTGCTTTTGGGGTAATTGAAATGGAAGAATACAACAGGTTCTTTCCTACCACTGAGCCTTTGCACATGCTGTTGACTCTGAAAGCCCTTTCCACCTTCTCTGTCTCACTCCAAGCCAGGTTGGTGCCTCCCCTTGGCCTCTATAATTCCCATGCTATGCTCATTACTGTACAAGTGACACCCTTGGGTGACTATCTGGAGCCCTTCTCCTAATTAAGAGTCACATGGAGGCAAGAATGGTAGATTCATCTCAGGGAACTTGGAACCCAGAAAAGGGCTGGGTACTCAGCAGATGTGGTTTTGGATCCAGACTTGGATCCAATTCTTCCCTTTCCTCCCTGACCATCCCCTCAGGTCAGCTCTTTCATTTCAATTATTTTGCGATCTCGCTTATTAAATGCTTCCTTTGTATGTAGCTGGAGGTGGTTTTTCCCAAAAGCGACCTGTTTATTTCTAGGCACTTTGAACTCAGGTCAGTTAATTCCCCAAGAGTTTCTTGGGGCTTATGCTATGCACCATGTTCTCAGCAACAGTTCTGAAATGCTCCTGCCTAGAGGAGCTCACAGATCAGATGAGATGTACCAAGGAGCAAGGAGCTGAGACCCAGGTATCCAGACAGGGAGGTCTGAGTTCAGTCCCAGTCCCGCCATTGCTGTGTAACCACAGCAAAATCACTTGACTTGTCTGAGCCTCAGTTTTCTCCTTCTATGAAATAAGGATCACAAGTTTGATCAGAAGACAGGTCAGGGTTGGGAATGTGCCCTGGAAACCATACAGCCCCACAAAAGATGGGGGGCCCCATGACCACATGACTATCCTTCCAAGGACCTCCTCTTCTGTTTTCCAGAGAATCCCCTTCCACGTGACTCAAGAGAAAGTCTTCTCTTTGCTGTTCCTCTGGGGCCAATGGTGGGTCTTTATCTCAAAACTCTGAACCCAGCCACTCATCTCATCACCTTTTTTGCTTTGGCCATTAGAAAGCTCAGAACTGAATTTTCAGCCCACTCCTGGCAGTTGTATGACTCTGAGTTCTAACAATTTCTGTGTCCTTTAGCAATGCCATTCTTATGTTCTTTTTGTCCCGATTCCAACCATATTTTTATCTTACTTTTAAAACCAAGCCATCTCAAATCCTTTTTGGAATTAGTCAGAGGCTTGATTAAAAAGAGCAGCATAATTTTGAGGGCTTGCTGAGTCCTAGCACTTTTTTAGTCCCCAAAAGTCCCACTGAATAAGTGTTAGGATTATCCTCATTTTCCAAGAGGAAATAGAGGCCCAGAGAGACTCAGTGATTTTCTCAGGACCACACAGCAAAACCCAGATGCCCTCCCTAGGTGAGCATGACTACAGAGTCAGATTGGGTCCCCAGCGCTGGGGCCACTCCCAGACCCAGGCCAGCTCTTACTATGATGGTCACGGAGACATTGTCCAACATCTCCCGGACAAAGACGTCGTAGGAGCCTTTGATCTCAGGGTCTTGGTCATTAATGTCCAGCAGGACAATCTCCAGCAGGGTGGTTGTCGACAGATTGCCGCCATCCATGGCCTGGAGAGTGAGGAAATACACCGGCTGCTTCTCCCGGTCCAGCAGCTCGCTGTTGATTACCATCAAGTCCCCTGTCCATTGATCCACTGCAAAGATGTTTTCCCTGTACAGCGAGGTCAGATTTAGAAAGCAAAACAAAACAAAATAGGATGCGTGCTAAATTTGAATTTCAGATAAACAGTGGAAAATATTTTAGCACATCCCGTGAAATAGTTGTAACATACTTTACTAAGTTTTGTCTATTTGGTTATTATTCATTGTTTACTTGAAATTGAAATGTGGCTGGGTACCCTATATTTTATTCAGCTACTCTAGCCCCACAAAGAGGCAGAGAGGGACCAGGCCCCAGCACCACCACCCCCCACCCCCAGCCCTCTGCCCACCAACACCTTCCTTACCCGCTGCCTGGAAGCAGACTGTAGGTGATGTTGCCCCACAGACCCGTGTCTGGGTCAGTGGCCTGTGAAGCAGAGAGATAGATCATAGGGCACTCTTTGGAAATGGTGGCACTCGCTGCCAAGCAGGCAACTGGTGGCTTCCTGACACAAAAGGGAGAACTGTCCTACACACTCAGATTCACACACAGACACACTTACACACACACGCACGCCCTCATGCATGCATGCACATTTACAGGGACCTGATGACATCACATGACAGACAACTGGTGGGCCAGGCCTTCTCCATGTCTCTCCCAGCCAGACCCAGCCGTGTCCCCAACACTCACTCGAATGCTGTTAGAGATGACAGTGCCATTTGGACTGTGCTCTGAGACGTTCAGTTTGTACGGTTCCTTGGGAAATGTGGGACTGTGGTCATTAATATCTCTCAAGCAGATGGTCACCAAGGCAATGGAGTCGTTCGGTGTGGTTGAGTTACTAGCCGTGATCTGAGGGCGGGGAAGGAGACAGCAGCATTGGGGCCTGAGCGCCTGGTGGCCCAAGTCACTGATGCCTCAAAGCACCACTCACCTTTACTGTCATCTCCGTCTTATTCTCATAGTCCACCAGAGATGGTGTTTTCACCAGCAGCTGCACATCTGCTATGCCCACTACCTTCTCAGGAGAGATGCTGAAGGCATCTGCATCAGTGCCTTCCAGGGACAGCCAGAAGGTGCCGTTGTTGCCCTGTAGATGTTGTGTTGTGTAGTAAGCCCAAGCCCCTGGTATGCACCCACCAATACATTTCTCCCAACCCCTGGCCACAGCTTCCTGCCTCCAGAAATGCGCCCACTGAGATCCCATAAGACAGGGCCTCTTCAGGGACTGAGGCAAGAGGGGCCCAGAGAGGCTGTGGTGGTCACTAGTGCTGCAGTTATGGGTTCATCTTTCTCTAGGCACTGTGGACCCAGGCTCAGGCTGGAGAGACAGAACCTCGACACACCCCTCAAGCCCATGCAGCCTGAGTCTCCATCATCTCATCTCACACTACCCCCTGCCCCCCCCCACCAATACCAAACATCACCCTAGTACCTAGTACCACACCGCCCTCATTCCTCTCAATGCCAACCAACTCAACACCTCTACCTACAAATACCATCCTCCATTTCACGTTTGGTGCCAACTCATTATCACTGAGAATACACCAAACACCTTACACAGTGATTCATCACTCAATACCACCCATCACAGATCACTCTATGTCAATCTCCACTTAAGATCCCTCCAACTGGAAACTCACTCACATCACCTACTTCCCCAAGGACTGGTACTTGGCCAGTATCACCCCAAGTCACTAGCCGCCCAGCACCATTCAACTTCACCAACCACCCATCACTCTATTTTCCTCAAGCCACTGAAAACGATACCCACTCACTGTTATCTAGCATCCAGTCCCAACTTCTACCCTATGCTGCTTTCCCGTTCACCATGTAAGCACTGTCCTGAGTCCAAGACTACCCACCAACTCAGCATCCCCCAACACTGACAAGTATGGCCCCACAGCCCTGAACCACAGCTCTGTTCCAGTCAGCCCCCACTGCCTCCCCCGTCCAGGTGCACCTGCCTTGTCTGGGTCGTAGGCCACAATGGTGAGGCCCTCTATGGCGACACGGTTGGAGGCATGCTCATCTACCCAGCCAGTGAAGTTGTTTAAGGGCATTTCAGAGGAAAAGTTACAGCCTGGGAGGCTGCAGTTGTAAAACTGAGGGTTGTTGTCATTGACATCTGTCACCCTCAGTGTGACCCAGATGCTCACATTGGGCTTCTGCCCATTGATGTCAAAGTTTTCCTCAGTGGCCTAGAAAAGAGCAGAGGCCACAGGGCAGAGATCAGAGAACCAGCACCTGAGGGAGCCAAAATCAAAGGTCAGAGGTTAAAGAGTAGGGATGCAAAGGTGGTGGTGGACCCTTCACTCACCGTGACCTCCACCTGCACCTCCTCATCCTCATCGAGCAACTCCTCACGGTCTAGAGAACTGTTGACCCTGATCTCCCCACTATCTGGCCCGATGCAAAACCAGTGCCCGTAGGGTTTTGTGGAACCTGGAAAGGGACAGGAGGGGCAGCTGCTTTCTGAGTCTCTGACAGAATTCCCCACCCTTCTCCTGCCCAGCCCCAGCCTGAGGAAGCCCCCATTCTCACTGGAGATGCTGTAGGTAATTTTGTCATTGATGCCTCTGTCACCATCTATGGCTTGCACCGTCAGCACTGAGGTTCCCTGAAAGGAGGCACCATTGGTGGCCTGGACCCTTTCCCTCCCTGTCATCTCCACCCCAGAGCACCCCAGTTCCCCTGGCATACCACAGTTGCATTCTCAGACACAGAAGCCGAGTAAAACTCCCTGAGAAACTGGGGTTTCCGGTTTGGCTGGTCGACTACAGAGATGGACAAGAAGACAGGCGCAGAGCACTGGGTCACCATGGTGTTGTTGTACCAACCGCCTGAGTCCTGTGAGGAGACAGGCCTTCAGTCTGTCTGGCCAGAGGTTCCGATGCCCTCCCCCCTCCCTGTGCCCCCACTCACACAGGCCACCAGTTTCAGCTGATAGAAGGAGCTCTTGTTGTTGTAGTCCAGGCAACCATTAAGAATGATGGTGCCACTGGGCAGGATCTTGAAGAGGTTCCTGCTGTCCTCGGTGTTAGGAATGACCTGAGCAGAGTATAGTCAAGCCTATACACCTGGGTGCCTCTAGGTGCCCAAGGCCTAAGTTCAAATCCCAGCCCTGCCCTTGGCCACACTGACTCTCACCAGGTCATAGAATCTCTCTGAGCCTCACTTTCCCTTCTGGGAAGTGAGGCTCAGAGAGTGCTTGGATAGGTTAAAAGGCAGGTGGAGTGAGCTAAGGTCTGTACCAGGGATGGGGTGGCTGCTCAGCAGATGGAGTTACAGCTAGCAAATTCAATTTCATGAGAACAGGGATCACCCCCCTATTGTCTGTGTGACCTTAGAGAAGACCCTGGACCTCTCTGAGCTTTGAGTTCCCTTCTGCGAAGCCAGGAGAACATCAGCCACCAGCTGGTGTGACAGAAATGCTTCAGGGTCCTGACAGAGCCCCAAGCAAGAGGATGGTAAGGTGGACCAGGTTGAAGAAGTTGCCTCCCTTAGGCAGCTGGGCCACAGGAGGTTGTGTGGGAAATGCTGCCCCCTGGTGGTGGTGAGGAGCAGTGGGCCCACTTTCCCATGAGGATTTGCAGCCACTCACCTCCGTTATGTTGTAATTCACAGTGCCTGCAGGACCGGAGTCTGCATCTGTAGCCTTCGCTGTGAACACCATGGAGCCATTTCCTGAGGTCTGTAATAAAGCACTGGTCACCTCTGAGCTCCAGTCCATCTCTTACATGCCCCTCTCCTGAGCTTCAGTGTCTCCAGTTGTAACCACTAAAGTAACGATAGTATCTTCCAGACACCGTAGCACAGTGTTCCCTACATATTCCCCCTTCCTAAAATTAAACACTGGGACTGGGCCTTGGGACAGCTACTTGATCAAGCGTCGGATCTGCAGCCTCTCCAGTACTTAATCTGAGCCTCAGTTTCCCTTCTGGGAGGTGAGCTCAGACAGTGCTCTCCAGTACTTGATCAAGCTGCGTTTGTCTATAGCTTACAGGCAGGTGCCAGACAGCACCCTCCAAGGCCCTATGGAGAGGTTTTTTGCCCCTTTCAACTTGTTTACACCCTTTCTATTTCCACAATGATTTCACAGAGATCCTTGAAAATCATGAATCAAACCACATCATTCTGTACTAAAAATCCTCCAAGGAGGTTTCTCAAGCTGCTAAAGATGGAGCTTGCGTGACTCAGCAATCCCACTCCTAGGTATCTACCCCAAAGGACACAACAACATCGATTCGAAAGGACACCTGCACCCCCATGTTTATTGCTACTCTATTTACAAACAGAAAGACATGGGATCAACCCAAATGCCCAGAAGTAGATGACTGGATTAAAACGATGTGGTACATATACACCGTGGAATATTACTCAGCAACCAAAAAGATAAACTCATTCCTTTTGCAGCAACATGGATGGAGCTGGCAGGGAGCATGCTTAGGGAAATAAGCCAGAAAGAAAAGGAAAATACCGGGTGGGGGTTTTGGGGGTAGATGGGAATAATAATGAACAACTATATACCAGAGAGCGGGGAATGGGATAAAGAGGGGGAAGTGTACTGGATTGTGGTGATGGCACACAGGTGATTTGGTGATGGGAAGTCCACGGGATGAAAAAAGGCACAAAATGATGTAAAAATAAACGATTAGAATAAAAAAAATATGGCCTCCAAGCACAGGCCACTGTTCAGCTCTCTAACCTACCTTCCTCTTATCCTCCATCCTCCAGTTACACATGCTTCCTAGATTTGCTACCACACGCCAAGCTCATCTTGTCTGCAAGATTTTACATCTGCTGGTCCCCTGCCTGGAATACCCTTTCCTGGAGCATACCGTGCATAGCCAGCTCCTTCTTACCATGTAGGTCTCTGCTACATGGTTAAGGACTCATAGAAGACTTTCTGACCTCAAGCACAAAACAGCTGCCTCCTTGGTCATTCTCTCTCATCTAGCCCTGCTTCATAGATTTCAACCATCTGTGCTCTTTGCTTAAATGTGTAGTAACTAGGTCCATCTTGTTTGCCAGACATTCTCAGTACCAATGACAACACCTGGCATATAGTGGGTGCTTGCTCAGAGCTGGTCAAAGAGCTACCTGAACCTCACTGGCCTTGTGTCTGCCTGGGACCTCAACTTCATGGGTCTTTGAAGCCACATGGTGATGAAGTTTGGGAATGGTGGTGTTCCACTGCTCAGGACCACTGGAGAACCTCCTGCCCACCATGCAGCTCCAGTGGAGATGCTCCTCCCTTGCCAGAAGGGAATGTCTAGATGCAGACAAGTCAATCGTGTTATCGAATACACCTAGACTGATGGACCCGTGAGGCAAGATGGGCTAATGAGAGTCAGCCCTACGGTTCTGGATGTGGTGGTTGAAGAAAGCCTATATTGAAGTTGAAAGGCTAGTAAGAGGTGAGCTTGCCACCACTTAGAGAGACTTTTCACGTTAATTACCACAAGGGAAAATTATTCCCCCATCCCAGAATAGGGACTCAATTTTGGTTTTTTGCTTCATAAGGAAAAGAATTCCAATCCAATCTCCCTGATGGCAAAATGTTACTGTTACTATTGTTCATGGAACACCACCCCCCGGAAATTAGTTCCTAAAGCTACCCTATCTGGATGGTCCTTGTCCCAATCCTGGGTCCTCTGCTGGCTGTCTCTGACCCCCTTCACTCTGACAGAGCTCCTGGGATGCCTGCCTCCTACACACCGCACCCAGTTATTAATTACCTCATTGATTTTGACAGAGAAGTCGGTGTTCTGGAAAATAGGTTTGTTGTCATTTCTGTCCTCCAAAATTATCGGTAGTTCCTTCAACACCTGCAGGTGAAATAACCTGAGTGAGCCTGAAAAATGTGAGCATTTGAGAAAAAGTAACAGGGAATATCTGAGCAGGAGTGTATGTTGGCATAACTCCTCAATGGACAATTAAGCAAAGCTAGCGTAACTTTCACCTTCAAACACCAGAAAAACTGCCAGTATAGTACAAAAAATTCTTGAGACCCTTCATCCAGATCCCCTCCATTGCTGGTTTCTGTCTCTCTCTTCATGTGTTTACTGAATCACTTGAGAACAAGTTGCAGAAATCATTTGATCATTTTTTAAAAGATCTAAAATGTAACTGTCTCATTATTACAAGAATGCCCATTTTAACTTGTTTGCCTCAGTGCAAAGCTGTGACATAAGAGACCAGCTAAAGCACATGGCCTCTTCCCACACTGGAATAAAAACAGTGCAAGAAACCGGCTCAGACATGGGAAGACTCCCAGGCCATCTGCTGAGTGGACAAGGCAGTTCATGATGCCATGTGCAGTGGGCCTCCCCGAGTTTCTGAAAATGCACGAAAACGACACTCTTGCATCCACATATGAACAGGTGTCTATAACAGTGAGGGTTTATAAGGGGTCTTCAGGTGGGAGTGGGCTGAGGAAAGTTGCCCAAGAGGTCTTCAGCTTTATCTGCAATTTTTGAGATTCTTACAAAAGAGCATATTCATGAATATCTGAGTCATTAAAACCATTTTTTAAATAGATTGAGTTGAGGAACATGCTATAAATATAAACTCCTCACTTTCATGGTCATAAGACACAGTGATATAAGTGTGCCATTTCGAAATTTGACCTCTGATGCCACTGCATTCAACCAAAAGAACTAATTTTGAAATTTTGGTAACATTTTGGGACAAAGTGGACATATATGAAGTTAACTAGAAGTGATCTTTTGATGCTTTACTGCCCCAGCCACCTCTTATATCACTGGTACCAGTGCTTAGATCGCTTTAACAGGTACAAAGACAACAGTCTGAAAAATCTCTCTCTATTATTGTTAGGGGGAAAGAATGTCCTAAAGGAACTCTGCAGCGTTTTATGGACTCCACCCCACTCCAGTAAACTACAGCTCCCAGCAATACCACAGAGGGAGCCACGAGGACCCAGGGCGGATCTAAGCAGGCATTCTGAGACTTTTGGGGGGATGTAAGGGAGTGAGGTGATTCACGCTCTCTCTTTCTGGACCACAGGGCTCTCTGGACGGTGTGGTGGACATCCTTTCCCCAACATTATAGCCCATAAAAAATCAAAAATGAGAAAACAGATGAACTCCCCACAATACTACAGGAAAAAATCCCTGCAAGGATCCTCACCCAGTAGAACTGCAAAGATGACACAAGAGGAGTTTAAGGTAAAGGCTCTAACAATGTTTACGGAACTCAAGAAAACAACAAAGGATAGAAAACAACAACAGAATGAAGATAAAGAAAATACCAGGCAACTACACTTAGAAGTACTAGAGTTAAGAAGCATTAGTAGCAGATTTTAAAAATACAATTGAGAGACACAACAGCAGACAAACAGAAGCAAGGGAGAGAATTAATAAGCTCAAAAACACAGTTTTGGTGAATACCAGAGTAGGACAAGTTAGAGAAAAGTATTTTTAAATGAAAATGGTGTAAAGGCTTGGTGGAACAACTTGAAGAGAAATAAAATCCATGGCATAGGGATTCCACAAAAAGAAGAAAAGGGAAAGGTGTAGAAAACCTCTGCAAAGAAATAATCACGGAAAGTCATCTCAAGTTGGGAAACCAGCCAGACACGGTGATCCCAGAGGCCCAAAGAGTTCCAAGCCAAATAATATCAGGTGCACATACCAAGACATGTTATAACTCAGTTGAAAAACCAACAAAAAGGACAGAATATTAAAAACACCAAGAGAAAAAAAAAAGGATGGCCAAACATACTGTCAGCGGGCTTTTCAGTGGAAACATTACAAGTGTGAAGGGACTAGAAGGCGACATTTAAAGGACTTAAAGAGACTTCCAGGCCAGAATCCTTTACCCAGAGTAACGTTCAAGATAGAAGAAAGAGTGAGGGAGCCCCTCCCTGGTGGTGCAGCGGGTTAAAGCACAGCACTATGGAGCTAGCACTGCGCCTCAGCCCCCCAGCCCCCACCCCCCACCCTCGGAGCCAACCCATTCCTACCCCAAGAGCTGACCCACAGGGGGCAGCAGACTTCTCTTGTCCCACCCACTGCTCCCCTCAGCAGTGTACTTCATGGATCTGCCTGTTCTGCTCCCCACTCTGTTCCTGGTGGATCCTCTCACTGTACCCCTGGCCTGTACCCCAGCTCTGTATGCATAAATAAATAAATCTTTAAAAAAGAAGAAGAAAGAGTAAGGATCTTCACCAAAAAGCAAAAAGGAAAAGAATTTATCAATACCAAGTGACACTTGAAAGATGTTCTAAAGGAATTATTATAAAGCAACAGAACAATGAATATCAAGCAACTGACACCTAAATCACTTAACATGGAAGAGGAGGAGGAGAAAGTGAAAGTCAATTGTCAGTAAAACTACAAAGGTCAGAATTATACCTAGTATTCTCTCTGACCATAATGCCATAAAATTAGAAGGCAACAATAAGCAAAAAAGAGGGAAAGCTATGAATACATGGAGACTAAGCAATACATTATTTAATAGCTATTGGAAAAAAAGAGAAAATCATAGCAGAAATTTTAAAATACTTTGAGGCAAAAGAAAATCCAAGCTACCAGAATCTATGGGTGCAGCAAAAGCAATCTTATCACAACACTATCCCAAATAAGCAATTTAATACCACACCTAAAATAACTTCAGAAGAACAAATGTGATCCAAAGTTAGTAGAAAGAAGGAAATAAAAATTGAAGCAGAGGTAAATTGGATATTAATCCCTTATCAGTTACATTTTGTAGAACTACCATTCAATTGGATGTTGGTTAAGTTATCTTGTATTTTCTTTCACAGTATAGAAAGCTATGAAACAGATCAAAAACACCCCACCAAACAATCAACAGTCAGAACTGGTTCTTTAAGAAGATAAACAAAATAGGTAAACCTCCAGCTAGGCTAACAAAAAAAGAAAGAAAGAAGACAACAAACAGAATCATATATGAAATAGGAGAAACCACCACAGATAATCAGAAAAACATGGACTCTTAAGAGACTACTATGAAAAAAAAAATGCCGATAAATTCAGAAACCTTAAAAAAAATGGAAAAATGTCTAGATGAGTATAATTCTTCCAAGAGTAACCCAAGAAAAAACATATAAATTGAACAGTAACAGAAAATAAACAAGCAAACAATCAAAAGACCTCTCCAAAAACAAAAGCCCAGAATCAGATAGCTTTACAAATGGATTTTAGCAAAGCTTTAAGAACTAATGCCCACCTTATTCAAACTGCTCTTAAAAATACATCGTGGAACATGTGGGTTTTGTGTTGATGGTTTCACAGTCTTTGGATAAATGCTCAAAGTGGGATTACTGGGTCATATTTCCATTGTTAGGGGTTTTTTGGTTTTTTTTAAAGATTTATTTATTTATGCATACAGAACTGGGGTACAGGCCAGAGATGCGGAGGGTAAGAGGATTCACCAGAGACAGAGTGGGGAACAGAACAGGCAGATCGATGAAGTACACTGCTGAGGGGAGCAGCGGGCGGGTCAGGAGAGGTCTGCTGCGCCATGTGGTCACCTCCAGGGCAGGCGGGAATCGAACTCATGCGGAAGTGGCTTTAGCTTCTCAGTGCTGTGCTTTAACCCGCTGCACCACCAGGGAGGGCCTAGGGTTTTTTGTTTGTTTTTTTTTTTTTAAGATTTATTTCTATTTATTTATGCATACAAGAACTGGGGTATAGGCCAGAGGTGCCAGCAGTGCTGAGTGGGAAGCAGAACAGGTGAATCCACAGTATTCACAGCAGCATTATTTATAATAACTAGGACATGGGAGCAGCCTAAGTATCCATCAAAGGACAGCTGCATCACAAAGTGGTATGTCCATACAGGGAGCGTTATATAGCCATAAAAAAGGATGAACTGCAGCCATTTTCAACAAATTGGTGGGAGTTTGAAAGAATCATGTGATAGGAACAAACCCCAGACATTTACAAGGTGACAATTGATAATATAAAAATTTCAAAAACTCCTGAGCATCAATAAGCATCCTGAGAACTCTGAGGTTAAGAGGGAGGGGAGAGGAAAAGGCACAACAGGATATAAAGGGCAGCTGGCAAAATAATTGTAAAATTCCATGAATAAACTAAAAGTCATTGAATTGTTAAAAAATAATTATGATCAAATTAAACATTAAAGTCAAGGGTCTCTCTGGTGTTGCAATGGTTAAAGTCTAAGCACTATCAAGCTCGCTGTGGTGGCATAAGTTCAATCCCGGCCAGGGAGCAGACCCACACGGCTCAGCAGACCTCCCTGTCTCACCTGCTGCTCCCCTCAGCAGTGTATTTCAGTAGCTCTGCCTATCTGCTCCCCACTCTGTCTCTGGTGAATCCTCTCACCATCCCCTCAACTCGGCACCTCTAACTACAACCCAGTTCTTGTATGACATAATAAGTAAAAATAAATCTTTAGTGATAAATAAATAAACATTAAACTCAGATTAACAGGAACTCTTTCTGCTCTCCAGATGTGGGGGACACAGGAGTAGAGGGAAGGGACTTCTGTTAGTTTCCAGAACCACCCACCCTTGCCTCTTCCTACTCACTGGGCTGTTTTTTTTGTCGGTCACGGAGATAGTGATTCGGAACCAGGATGTTGTCTGGAGCGGGCAGAGAGAAGACCTCAGGTGAGCCCCTGCCTGGGTAGAAGCCCCAGCAGGGAGCCCACCACCCACACACTGGCACCCTAGCCCTCCCCACCTCCCAGCCCTGCCACGGGGCCCTTCCAGAGTGCTGTCTTTACCTCGTAGTCCAGCAGGTTTTTCACTGTTACATCCCCAGTATTCTCATTGACCGCAAAGAAGTAGGCATTGGGACCAGAAATCCCATAACTCAAAGGGTCCTGGTCTGGGTCCTCAGCTACCAGCTTGAAGGCAAAGGCACCTGGAGATGGGACAGACTCTGTCCAAGGTCCTCACCACCTCCTTCAATGCTGGCCTGGGCCAACCTGCCCACGGACCTGGGCAGGGTCCATGGCTCCGCGCATCTGATATCAAGGGCTCCCAGCCCTGGCTCCAGGCCATGGTCACAGGCATCAATTTCAGTTATTATAACTCAACACTCACTCAGAAGCTTCGGCACCAGTTTCCTTCGAGGGACCCCAATTGCACTAGACACAGTGGACTGTGTCCCAAGCGCGTCCTCTCCCCAGCTTACTCTCCAGACCTGCCCTACTCCTGGACCTCCCCCTTCTCCTGGAAGGGGAGGACTGAGCTTTGCTAAGCGGGGTGCATGCTAGGGTGGAGGCTGCTAACAACGCTCTCGAGGGGCCTGGCCCCTCTCCAAGCCTTCTCATCCCTCTCCCAGAGCCTGCCTGCATGCTCTGCCTGCATGCTCTGCCTGAGCGCCGGCAGCTGGCATCCACAGAGGGCATGCCCCTGGGCAGAGCAAGGGCAGGCAGGTAATAGGAGACTTGAAAGTCCCAAGGTCATAAATGCACCACCTGGAAGAAACTTCACAGATTTGCCCTAAACATGCCTGCTCCCTGGCCTCTTTTACCACATCTAGCCTCTGCTCTGCTAACCAACAACCCACCAGCTTACTTGACCTCTGCCATCCCCTTTCCATTCATTGTTGAAGAGCTGTCCATTCCTTTATCGGGCTTTCTCCTTTAATCAAAATATGTTTCCCTAGAATCCTCACCTATGGTTCCCTTCAACCCTTCAACCCAGGAGGTGCAGTATCTGGGGTTAACAAGAATGTTTAACTTCTTGTAAAACCCTGTGTGTGTGTGTGTGTGAGAGAGAGAGAGTGTGTGTGTGTGTGTGTACATATATATTATATATAACACATATATAATACATATTAAATCCAGCCTACCTGATAGCTGTCTTTATGCCAATGCATATATTTTTCCGCAGCAAGAGTTCGATGAAGTTGGCACAGCAACCACATGTGACTGTGGGCCTGGCACCAGGTACGAGGGGGGCAGAGAATCTGCCCATCCCTCTGCTCACGACAGCCCTCTGCAAGGGTCTGAGCAGCCCACCCAGTCTGTTCCTCCATCCCTTGGAAACAGTTCTTGGAAAGCTCATTCAGTGTCTTCCCACCTCACCCCCTGCCTCCAGGAAGACCACCAGATGCTAAAAAGATACCTGTGTCTATATTACGCTTCCTTAGCTGTGGGAGGCAATGTCAATTTAAAGAATGTTAAACACATATGATTCAGAAATGTTAACATGCAAAAAGAGGTAAATAAAGGGAGGCGAGTGAGCGGGTGGAAATAGGACGTGCTTTTTTTTTTTTAAACATAAGTTTATTTTTACATCATTTTGTACAGGACGTGCTTTTTTAAATGTCTGCCTGGGGGGAAAGTGTAGCAAATAAATAAAAAAGAGTTAAAGAATTTAAAACATTGATAAAGAACTTGAAACACTGATATTAAGAGTTATATTTGTCATTCAACTCAACTACTTAATATTTAAAACATCCTAATTGTGTATCTAACAGTCATATGTTGACATAAATTTTCTGAAAAACATTCATGAGGTGATTTTGCTCATTGTGCGAATGCCACAGAGTGAAAATAGGCACACCTGGTTAGGCTAGCCTTTGCACACTTATGCTGACACTGTGGCCCAGCCTGTTAGCGCCCCTGACATATTTGTGGTTTTTTGCTGATGGAAATGGCTATATTTTTTTAAAATCTTGGGGCCTCCCTGGTGGTGCAGGGGGTTAAAGCACAGCACTATTAAGCTGTCTGCAGCCACTGACCCTCATGGCGCAGCAGACCTCTCCTGTCTCACCCGCTGCTCCCCTCAGCAGTGTATTTCAGAGGATCTGCCTGTTCTGCTCCCCACTCTGTCTCTGGTGAGTCTTCTCACCACCTGCCTCCCCAGCACCTCTGGCTGGCCTGAACCCCAACTCTTATGTGAGTAAATAAATAAATCTTAAAAACAACAACAACAAACTACCCCTCAGATGAAACTACAGCAGAGTGTGCATGTCAGGAGCCCCATCCTTTCCTCGTGCTCCTAGACAGGCTTCTACACCCAGCGCCAACGCCAGCTTTTACCTTAAATGCTTATCTGTTACCTTCAGAAATCTGGGGTCCCAGTTGTGACACTGCCACTACTGTACATTGCCCCCCACTACTCAATACCCTCTTTCTCTAAGATTAATAGAACCCCAGATTTTGAGTGAGGCACATGCTAACTGGAGTAGACTAGATCTCAGGCTCCTTGGCAGTGACTCAGTACTAACCAGGGACCTGTGAGCAGAAGAAACATGTGTAAATTCCCCAGCCTGTCTTTACGAGAAAGAGACAAGTCTCCAGGTCCTTCCTCCTCCTGCTGGCTGGAAGAGGGTGTGGCACCAGCCTACTGGACTCATGGATAACATGACACCCAAGGGAAGCAGAAGCCGGCACATAACACAGGGAACAAGCACTGGAACTGAGCTTCCGAAGCCCCGGGCTTTCTGGCTACGGGAGAGAATAGCAAACCTCTGCTTGTTCACACCCTGAAGTCTGCAGACTCCATTAGGCACAGCTGACCCCTGTCACCTCTAGTTTCTGCTTCCCAACACATAGCCTGCCCCTGCTGGGCACTGGGTGTCCAGTCCTTACGGCTTCCTAAAATCATGTTTCCCAAACATCACTTTGCTCCGGCTACCATCAACTTCGTCATATCCCCATCTCATTATTTGTGACTATTCATTTAATCAACTGGCTATTTCATACTTGATTTTTTTTTAAGATTGACTTATGTATGCTTACAGAACTGGGGTTCAGGCCAGGTGTGGTGGGTGAGAGGATTCACCAGAGACAGAGTAAGGAGCAGAAACAGCAGATCTACTGAAATACACTGCCGAGGGAAGCAGCAGGTAGGTCAGGAGAGGTCTGCTGTGCCATGTGGGTCAGCTCCCTGGCCAGGGATAGAACTCATGCTGCAGTGGCTTTGGAGAGCTTCAAATGCTGTACTTTAACCCATTGCGCCACCAGGGAGGGCCCTATTTCACACTTGATTTTAAAAGTCAGCATTAGATTACTGCTGTGCACAAAGACCTACCTGGTAAGTAACTCTACAACAAGCCAAAAAAAAAAGCATCCATCATATCAGCTCCTGGGGAGAAGTGTGTGAAGGGCTTTGAGCCTGAACCTGCTCTCTTTGTTTGAAAAATAAAATGTCATGGTGGAGGAAGAGGAGCAAGCAGAGGAGGCCTGAGAGAAAGAGGGTAGCAACTGGGTATTTTCTCCTTGGGGAAATCAGAAAGACTGAAAGGTAGGAAACAGGAGGGGTGTCTTCAAGGAGTAAGTCTTGATTATCCGACGTGGAGTGGGCCCTTGACACAAAGCTGAAGAAATGTAAAGCAGCTTCTGGAACAAACTCCCCCCAGGTAACCTTTCCCCATGATGAGTCATGGAGCTGGAGTGGGGGAGCAAAATCATAGGGGACCCCTGGAACCCTCCTGGGGAAGGGCCCGGTCTGGGCACGGGGACAGCTACTCACCCAGTGGGAGGTCCTCAGGCAGAGTCACTGATGTGATGTTGGGCAGGAATGTTGGGGCCCCGTTGGCTGCCACTGTGGGGACAGGCCGCTGGAACACCTGGACACCCTGCAAAGCCTGACCCCAGCTACCCCTGTGGGGGCCCACACCAGCCCTGTAGGTCAGCCTTCAGTCTGGTTCCCCCTCCTGGGCCTGGGATGCCCTCCCTCAAGTCCCCCCAAGGCAATCAGTCACAGGGCCAGTTTAATGAAGGAGTACCCCTCTTTTCCAAGGATCCTGCCAAGGACTCCCAGGTTAGTGTTACTCTGGTGGGGTAGGGGAGTACTCACCAGACCCTACAAGGGCAGCAAGCAGAAGACAGGACACCCACAACCACGCCATCATGTCAGGAGGGACCTAGGAGAAAGGTGTCAGGGAAGGAGTGTGTGTACCCAGGCCCCTCCCCCCATCCATCTGGGTCTGACCCAGGCCCACCCTCCACCACCACACAGGCTTCTACTAGGTCCCTATCACCCTCTGGCCATTTTCCAGATGGTCCAGGAAAAGGGTCTTAGAGGACAAGGTAGCTGTTCAGATCCCCAGCCTGTGACCCTGACCAATACCCCAGAGTGCAGTTCTCACTGTGTAGCAGTTCAGAGCACATTAAATATGTGATCTTCGGCCCTCCCTGGTGGCACAGCAGGTTAGAGCACTGCACTAAGAAGCTAAAGCCACTTCCACATGAGTTCGATTCCCGCCTGCCCCGGAGGTGACCACGTGGCGTTACAGACCTCTCCTGACCCGCCCACTGCTCCCCTCAGCAGTGTTCTTCATCGATCTGCCTGTTCTGCACCCCATTCTGTCTCTAGTGAAGCCTCTCGCCACCCCTGAGCCTCTGGCCTGTACCCCAGTTCTGTATGTACAAATAAATAAATCTTAAAAAAAAAAAAATGTGATCTTCATGTTCTACACTGATGAAATGGCCGCTAAAAGACCCAGGCTGAGAGGTTAAAGGGTTTGTCTAAGGCCACAGATAAAATTGGCAAGAACACAGTTCTTTCAGACTCCGGAGTCTATTCCCTCAACCACTAAAATACGTTGCCTGTGAGCAGTGTCCGAGTTAATCGTGTCCTTCAAAACCAGGGACCTCAAGAGAGACTATGACTTGCCCAGGATCATGTAGAGATTAGAGGGGTGGTAAGGATTCTTTGTGCCACTTGCTGACACCCTCCTTAGCTGCCTTTGCAGCCTTTCCCAAAGTTTGTTCTGTGGAATCCTGCCCTGTAAGATGTCCCATGGCAGACAGGGTTCCTGGTCAAGTCAGTTTGGGAAAGGCTCTAAGCTATGGGAGAACAAAAAAGGGAATGACCCCAAACCATGCAGTCTCCATAAGATGGGGGTTATCCACAGGGGAGAGTGAAGGGGAGACAGTATAGAGCCTTGACCATGAAACAGCATCAGAACTAGCAGTTGGTCCTCCCTTGGGCCGCAATGGGTTAGGACACAGCACTGCAAGCTAGCCACAGCCATTTCAGTGTGAGTTCGATCCCGCCCCAGAGATGATCCATATGGTGCAGCAGACCTCCCCTGACCCACCCGCTGCTCCCCTCAGCAGTGTATTATGTATTCCATACTACTTCACAGATCTCCCAAGAACCCTTCTGACCTCTGCTCCATTCTCCCCACTTTGTCTCTGGTGAATCCTCTCACCACCCCTGCACCTCTGGTCTGTACCCCAGTTCTGTATGCATAATAAAATAAAAATCTTAAAAAAAAAAAAACAAAAAAAACAGAACTCTTCTCCCTCAAACAACCACCTACCCTTCCTCCTGAGTTCCCAGCTCAGGGACTGACCTGCTTGATCAAATCACCTTAGACTCTTCCCCCACCTTCCAGAAATGCCAGTCCTTGCAGCCTCTGAACTTCTCTCCATCTGCATCTCCACCCCACAGTATCCCTCTCCCCTGACTCAGCTCTCTCCTTTTGATCTCTCTACAACAATCCTTCCTCACACCATTAATGACCTCCTTCCCCTGCTCAAAAATCTTCATGGCTCCCCTGTGCCAGAGTCCAAACTCCAGAAAAGAGCCCCTGCCTCTCTCCTCACTCCATCTCCAGCCACACCTGGCTTCCCTCTGGCCCCACCTCACCTCACACCTGCTTTCTCCCTGCTTTCTCTCCTACATCTCTGGACATGCAGTTTCCTCTATCTGGAATGACCTTCTCTGCCTCGCTTCCTGAGGAGCAGCTCCTGGGCTACCCTTGTCCAGACATGCCCTCAGAGCTCTGGCTGGAGGGCTAGACTGCTGGTGTTGCCTCTGGAGATCATCCTCCACCACACCAGGGCACCCGGGAAGGTAAGGTCCAGATCTGTGTCCTCTGTGACTGCGGGACTAAGCACAGGGTGAACCCAGTGCAGGCTCACTGAGCATTTCTGGAGTGATGAGTGAATGACCCTGTGAATCAATCCACTCCCAGTGTCCTGGCACGGAACTCCTGCAAAGTGGGGCAGAGTGTAATGGTTGGAAGTATATGGAGCAGAGGAAACCGGGTGCAAGCCCCTGCAATCTTGTGCAAGTAACACAACCTCTCTGGGCTTCAATTTCCCCATCCATAAAATGGGAATAATAGCAGCATCTACACCAGCAGGTTTGTTTGCGGCTTTAGCAGTGCTTGGCACACAGCAAGTGAGTAATAAATATTAGCAGTTATTATCACAGAGGAAAGAAAGGTCTTTCTTACCCCCACATCATCAGGGTATCCATATGCAACTCCTCTCTTCTCCAAAACTCTGCCCTGCCCAATCTTGGCCACCTCTCATGGCCCCTCCTCAATGTCCCCTAGATGGTGGTAGGGACCTGCCTTCTGGACATGGTGTGCTCACCTGCCCTCAAGTTCCAGCATGAACCTCCCTCTTTTAATTCAGAGTTCTCCAACACCTGCTGGGAGAAGCTTGGGTTACAGGAGTGTTTATATTTTTAAATATCAGTTGATATTTCCTGAGCGCCAACAATAAGCTGGGTGGCCTGATATATCCATTCTCACTCTTTTTTTTTTTAAAGATTTATTTATTTATTCATATGGAACTGGGGTACAGGCCAGAGATGTGGAGGGTGAGGGGATTCATCAGAGACAGAGAGAGGAGCAGAACAGGCAGATCGACGAAGTACACTGCTGAGGGGAGCAGCAGGGTCAGGAGAGGTCTGCCACGCCATGTGGTCACCTCCGGGGCAGGTGGGAATCGAACTCATGCGGAAGTGGCCCCAGCTTCTCAGTGCTGTGCTTTAACCTGCTGCGCCACCAGGGAGGGCCCCCATTCTCACTCATAATAAATATTCTTGAAAGTCCATGACCCACTGTGCTGACAGCACTGGTGATACAATTATGAGACAATAGTCAAGTCCTCACTCGCTATGGCTTAGTGAATAAGACAGATTCAAAACCAGTAATACATGCAGCTGTCTAACTATTTCTTGCATTAAGTGCAGGAAAAAAATATGGGTGTTGCTCCTAGGTATCTATCCAAAAGACACAAAAACACTGATTGAAAAAGATACCTGTACCCCCATGTTTATTGCTGCTTTATTTACAATTGGAAAAACATGGAAGCAGCCCAAATGCCCAAAAGTAGATGACTGGATCAAAAAGATGTGGTACATATATACAATGGAATATTACTCAGCAACCAAAAAAGAGAAACACATGTCTTTTGCAGCAACTTGGATGGAGCTGGAAAAGATCATGCTTAGTGAGATAAGCCAGGAAGAGAAAGAAAAATACCGGATGGTTTCACTCATAGCAGGAGTATAATGGACCAGGCGAGAAAATAACAAAAATAATGAACAACCATAGACCAGAGACATTCTGTGGGGGTGGAGTGGGGAATGGGATCAAAAACGGGGAGGGGGGGAAGGGAGGGAAATGCATGGGACTAGGGTGGTGGCACAGGGGTGATCTGGTGATGGGAAACCCGCGGGGATTACAATCGAGATGGGAAAAAAAAATGTGCAAAATGATGTAAAAATAAACTTTGTAATAAAAAAAAATATGGGTGTTGTGAGGGTATGAGAGATGCTCCCCACTTCAGACAGTATAGTAGGTAGAGAACTACAAATTCTTAGCTCTCTTCCCAGCAAGAACCTGTTCCCCTCAAATATGGTGATTCATCATGTTTTAACTTTCTATATTTCTTGATGCTTTGATATCTTAGAGGCCTTGATGGTTAACGAGAGATCACCACTCCCAGGCTAGCTAATTCCTAGAATACCCACAACACTCCTCTGATGTGCAACAACAAATCCAAAGTCCACACCCAACCACTTCCTTTATCTAACTCTCACACACCAAGTCCCAAATCACCCCAGGGTCATATATTGGACAACTAAGGAGGACCCCTAGAGTCTGCCAAAATTATTTGACTATTCAAGTACTTTCCTGCAGCTTTCTTCCCAAGGAAAATGCAACTAAAGCTCTAGGCACACTTTTCTGATTCTTTCTGCCTCCTCGCCAAATCTGGTGCTTCCCACTGTGCCCTGAGGGGCATGGCACGACCCTTCATGTGGGGAACTATGAGCAATAAAAATTTTTTAGTGGCCTTAGCCTCCCTGTTTCATCACTGTCATCTCCATAGATGAAAAATCTATGCCTTACAATTAAGACATCCAGTCAGGTCCTTTGATATACTGGTAGAATATGGCACCAAGAACAGTGTGCCAGTTCCCAGGCCTAGGGTTCAGGACATCGACAGCCTTCCTGTCTCGTGGCTCACTCTTGGAACTTGGCAGCCATACTGTAAGGAAGCCCAGTCTGCCCTTTAAGGAGACCTGTGTGATGCTGAAGCAAAGTCCTGACCAACACCCTGATAGAGCTTGCAGCCAACACCCACATGAGTATGTCACCCAAAATAAACCTTCTACCTCCAGATGAGTCATTCTGCTGAGCCCTGCCCAAATCACAGGGTATAATAAATGTTTGTTGTTGTTGGCTAGGGTGACTATATTGGAGTGAATAATGGGGACAGATGGAGTAGAGTTTTACGTGTCAGTAAAAGTCTGAGGAATGAGAAGAGAATATGGTATGTGGGGTAGTGGAGGAATTTCCCATTAAAAATGAAGGATTTAACATGTATCTCTACTTCCCCCCTCCTCCCTTTCTTGAAACCCTATTAATGTGAAGATTTTGGGAGCTGGAAAGAATGAATGAAAAATGATCACCTTATCAAGCTAATAATAGTTAAAAACCAAAGAAGGGGTGGGATTGGGAGCAACCTAGCAAGGCTAAAGGATTGAAGGTTCTAGAAGCTTCTGAAAGCAGAGACGTGGTATGGCTTGAACGCAGGGAAAATGGTTGAAAGTTTGTGTGAGAGGCAATTAGTCTCTTAGATACTACTTCTGCACCTCTAC